ATATTGAAAACTACAGTACTCTGAAAAAGGAAATTGAAGAAGATATTAGAAAATGGAGAGATATCCCATGATCTTGGATAGGAAGAATCAATACAGTGAAAATGACCATAATCCCAAGCTGCTATACAGATTCAGTGCAATTCCAATACAAATTCCAGTACCTTATTTCACATAATTAGATAAAACAATCCTAAAATTCATCTGGAACTGGAAGAGATCTAAGATAGTGAAGGCAATCCTAAGAAACAAAAGTAAGACAAAATATCATAATCCCTGGCTTAAAATTATACTATAAAGCTACTGTGATTAAAAGCAAGTAGGGTACAAAAAAAAAAAACCAAAAAAACAAAAAACAACAACAACAAAAAAACTCAAACAGACAAAAAAAAAAAAAGAACAAAAAACAAACGAACTAAAGATTAGTGGAACCGATTAGAAGATGCAGAAACAACTCCAGACACAGTAAGGCATTTTATCTTTGACAAAGGTGCTATAAACACAGTAACTGGAAGAAAAAAATGCCTCTTTAATAAATGGTGCTGGAAAAACTGGCTCTGCACATGCCAAGAGATTAAAGTTAGACTCATATCTTTCACCATGTATTAAATTAAATTCAGAATGGATCAAAGATCTAAATATTAAAACAGAAACAATAAATCTGCTGGAAGATAGAGTAGGTAAAATTCTTGAAGACATTGCTATAGGCAAAGACTTCATGAACAAAACCCTGATTGCACAGGAAATATCACTAAAAATCAACAACTGGAATGTGATATTAAAAAGCTTTTGCACAGTAAGAGAAACCACAAATAGAGTGAAGAGACTATTCACAATATGGGAGAAAATATTTGCCAGCTGTTCTTCGGACAAAGGATTACTATAGAGAACATATGAAGAATTCAAAGAAATCAGTGCTCTAAAATTTAAAGACTCAATCTAAAAATGGGCAGCTGAGATGAACACACACTTCTCAGATGAAGAAATACAAACATCAAATAAATATATAAAAATGTTTATTTGAGAACACAAATTAAAACAACACTGAGATTCCACCTCACTCTGGAAAGAATGGTTATTATTAAGAAATCAACCAATAACAAATGCTGGAGGTACTGTGGGGAAAAAGGAACCCTGCTTCACTGTTGGTGGGAGTGTAGACTGGTGCAACCAATATGGAAATCAATGTGGAGATTCCTCAAAAACTAGGATTGGAGATTCCATTTGACCCAGCTGTTCCCCTTCTGGATATCTTCCTAGAAGAATTAAAAACATTATACCATAGTGATATATGTAAATCTATGTTTATAGCAGCACCATTTGTAATACCTAGATCTTGGAAACAATTTAAATACCCATGAACTGAGAAATAGATAACAAAGTTGTGATATTTTTATACAATGGAGTATAGTCACCATAAAGAAGGATATACTTGAGACTTTTTTAGGTAAATGGATGCAACTTGGGACCATACTCATAAGTGAAATAAATGAGACACGCATGTGTAAGCATCATATTGCCTCACTAGTGTGAGAAGCTGAAAGACACTATATATTTAAAAGATAGCTATACTACTGATTTCTCTGAACTCATTGAAGAGAAAGCTTTGTGCTAGTATTGTTCAGATGATTAAATGCAGATGTCCTGTATTCTGAGTAACAGATTTAGAGATAACAATATACAACATATATACCATTGTTACCCTCTAATTATTGTGTTTTGAATTTTTTTCTCTTTAACATATAAAAGGGGATTTTAGAGGGAATTGGGAAATGCTCAGTGATCTCATCAGCAAGAGTGAACACTTGTTTCCCTTCCTTCTCAATAATACCATGTCAGTGACACCTAAAGGCAACCATGTGCATTTACTAAGAGTGGGAAATTTGGGATCACACTCTCTAAACAAGTGGTAATCATTTGGAAACATACCAAGCACACTTCTTAGGTAAAACGGAAGAGAACAAAACTTTGTGGATAAGTGAGAATTGTCCACATTGAAAATTAGGTCCTGAAATTAAAAGAGGGATAATGGCAGCAATGTAATATCACAGATTTAGTTAAGACATAGAACGTGCAAAAGGGTGTTTCACACACACACACACACACACACACACACACACACACACCCAGTAGATGAACATGATCAGACTGCTGGAGAAAAACCTAGCTCAGGAGAGCAAGGCAAGGAAGCCTATGCAATGCCTGGATTATCCAGTGGCAGACAGTTATAATGTAAGTGTAATACTACAGGGTGGTAAATCTTAATATTGGTGGTACTTACAAAAAGATAAATATCTGAGTAATTCACATAATAGATTTATGGCCCATTAGTACTTTTTCCTTGGCTTCTATGTTTGAAAAGAAAATTGTTTTCCCTATGCCAGCATTACACATTAAACATTATTTCTGGTGGAGTTCATATCTTTGGGTGATCAATTACTGGTATCTTTGTTACTGATGTAATGTTTCACTGAGGATAATTCAGCTAAGGCATGGGCCAGTACATGCTGGGGCCATTTTATAAGCATTATGGATGGATCTATCTTGATTAGCAAGTCAACCAGTGTTGGGGACCACAAATAAACAATGGCTAATTTTGCATACTTCCTTAAGGGATAAAATGCAGACTCAGGTTTATTGGTACCACACATTTGAGATTTCCCATTGACTCTTCTTAGCATAAGACCATTTCTCCCTCTTCAGTCATCCCAGGATTATACTCCAGGACAAGATTGTTTTCAGCATGTGGTCAGCTCTGCCCTCTTGAGGCATCCTAGGATTATATTTGTCCACTGAGTTGCAAACCTCTGAGTTGTCCCCAAATTGAAATCTTTTGCTAGCCCCGCCTATCACTGTATATATCCGATAAATTGTGGCTGTTTTGGAGTGTCAGGATAGGCTCTACCTGGAGACATCAATTTCCCAACAACTCATGTGTTACTAAACTTGTCTCTTCTATTTCTTTCTGTACCCTTAACACAGACAATATGGACTTTTTGCCAGGTACCCAATAAACCAGAACAACTGAAGGCCAGGTAAAGGGGGACAATTTAGAATTATATCAGTATAATCTAGGGGAAAGTCTTTTGCAGTGCTTCTTTGGAACTTGTAAATATTGTGCAAATCACAATAAAAAAGTCATTTGTAGGAGGTAGGTAGACTCTGTAAGTCATTGTCTGAAAAATGATACATTATTCATTCATTTGCTTACTTCTTCCTTTAATAAATACTTACTGAGGGTTTTCTATGTGCCTGACTCTTAGGAACCTAACTAGGAATACGGATGAATAAGACAGATAATTTGTTGTAGAGCTTAAGTTAAATGGAGGATAGAATAATAAAGTTAACAAAGGACCATGTGGGTAATTCCATAATGTTAAGGGCTAACAAGAAGACACATACATACAATGAAGTTCCATAACTGGGGTTGCTCACAATAGAAGACCCCTCTAAGGAGACTTTTAATATGAGTCCAAAAGATGAAAAAGAAACCCATCATATGTAAAAAGAATCAAAGAATGGCTAAGACCGGTAAAGAGGAGTAAAAATTCAGAGGGAATGAGAGATGAGATAGGACCAAATGAAGCAGAACTTTGTAGCCCATAATGGTGAACTTGGATGTTATTAGCAGTAAAATGATGAAGTTTTAAGTAGGGTGTTGAATAATATTTTCTTTGTTGTGGAAAATAAATAGATACAGACTGGTAAGAATAGAAGTAGGGAGACTCACACACAGGCTCATGTCACAGTATGAGAGGTAGTGAGAGCTTGGATAAGGGTAGAACATACTGTTTTCCATCAGCTAGCTGATCTGTGTTTTCTAGGTAGAGTTAATATGGGGGGGGGAGGTGAGCCATGTTGTTGGTTAATGTGTATTGATGACACAGGAAGCTGACAAAATAGTAAGCCAGCAAGGAAAAGCAATGCAGAAGAAAAAGAAATTTTTAATGAGGCTTTAAAAGGCAATGAAGGACTTTTATTAGACTCTCTCTCTCTCTCTCTCTCTCTCTCTCTCTCTCTCTCTCTCTTTCTCTTTCTCGCTCTCTCTCTCTGTCTCTCGGGCACATGCTGGGACTAAACCCAGGGTCTTGAAAGCTGAGGAGCAGGAATTAGAGGCACGCTTGAGTGACAAATTACTAGTATATAGTGTTGAGGTCTTTGAGAGTCCTTGAAAAATATTTATCATTCTTGCCTGGGTTCTGGACAACTTATAAAGAAGAATAAACACCGAGTCAAGAATATTCATTCTGTGACTGACAGATATCAAGGTCAAAATATATGGGTCTGCTGACTAAACTTCAGGATCAGGAGACTTCCTTGCCCTGAGCCTGGAGCCAAGTGTGTGTTCCCTGTGTGCACAGGAATGACAGGGGAATGTGTGGGAGCACTTAATCTCTCCAAATTTACCAGGCAGATAATCACTGTATCTGCTCAGACAAAGAAGCAGTGTGAGTCAAGCATAAAGAAAGGCCCAGGCTACCCTCGAGATACTTCTCTAGGAAGGGTGCACTGGGAGGGGAAATACTCAGGATCTGAAGGGAGACAGGTTCATTTCACAGGGAGAGAGGCAGAGCCCATGCGGTCCCCCAGCTACAAACAGTATTGTAAGGGGAGTCAACTTCTTTGAAAAAGTGAGAGTATAATCTCTGCTGGGTAGTTTAGAACTTTTGGCATATATGGAAACTACCTTCAATAAATATTAATCATTGATCTTTCTTTGCTTCTTCTGACTCAGGGGAGTTGATGCCTCCGAGTCTGCAAAGCAACAGTCATTGTGGTTTCTGACAGCCCCAAAGACCAGTCCTGTAGCTACAAGCATTGATCATCCCCAAAATCTAATGAATCTGGGAGACTTTTAGAAGGCTTGTTGGCCTAGGGAAGCTCAATCCAACTCAATGAACTGCCTTCCAGAACTGCCTTTGAGTCAGTCTACTTTCTGCCTATGCCTTAGAAGACTGCATAATCTAGAAGATTTGTAAAGAAATAATTGCGAGGAGACTTCCTTATCTGAGAATTCATCATCTGTATTTTGAGAGTTGAAAGACTGTGTGGTACAGCAAAATTCTGTCTTAGAGTTTATCTCACACAAGTTTTTTTTTTTATTTAAAAGGAAAAAGAGAAAAAAACAGAACAAAACAAAACAAAACAGTGTAAGGGTACAAGTAATACAGAACTACAAAAAAAAAAACAGTAAGATATCACCAGTTTGAAATGGTGATTCAGGTCACAGGATCAAAGCATACAAAGTGAACATTCAAACAGTATATCTCACACAAATTTAAAAAGTGAAGATTTACAGATAAGTAGAAGAGAGGCAAATAGGATAGGTGCCCCCCAAACTTTAAAATAATGTGACATGGAGGTAGGCTGAGAGGAATCAGCAACAATTCGAGTTTTTAAAGGTTTCATAGTCCTGTCCCACTGGGTCAGGATGGCATTTCTGGCTCCATCCCATTTCCCAGGGCCCACTAGGCGGTACTGGTAGGGGGTACAGGGTCCGAAGAAAACTTCCCAGGCCAGTCTGGGGTCCTTGAGGAACAGAAGTGGGACGTTGGGCTTTGCACCAATGCATGCAGCCAGCTCATCCATGTAGCAGATGTAGTTGAGTTTGTCTTGACTGGTGTCTTTAATCACACCCCTGCGAGGAAAGAAAACGGGTGGCTGTCATCAATCACTCTCTGCCCTGCAGTTCTCAAGTTACAAGGCCCACCCTTGCCCACCATTTTATTACTTGATTTTTTTAAACATAGTTTGGAACTGTGTTTAGAAAAGTGTTGTGTGTTAGAAAGAAAAAAGAAAGAAAAAAGAAAGGGAATCATCTACAGAGGGCATAGGCAGTTGGAAGAGAAGTTTTCAATTCTCCTACTTGCTATGTGGATTACATCGGATCAGCCCAAATGTAGTAATTGTTGATGAATGGACAGGATCAGAAAGCATCACACACGTGGACACTTGCATTTTGAAATTGATGTTAATTGTGAGTCAAGTGATCCATTCTTGATAGGACTAAACTTGACACAACTTTGAGCATAGTATATGTGAAGCCTTTATTCGTAACTACAGAGCTCTTAGTAAACTTTCTTAGTGTCTTAAAGTCATCTAATGAATAAAAGAACAAACAGACAAAACATTTCAGGCCATTCTAGATGCTGGGTCTAAAAGTGAACAAAACACAGTCATCCTTGCTGTCAGTTTATACTCTAATGGGGGAAAACAATAGACTATGGAAAACCCAAATAGACACATATCATGCGATCAATAAATTGGGACTTGCAAGAGATACAAAAGAGGATCATTGGGCTTGGGTGGGTTCCCCTTTTCTATAATGTGGTTAAGAAAGGCCTCTCATGGGGTGATGTTTGAGCATGAAGATGCCTGAAGAACACCCCAGACTAAGTGCGGAGGCTCTAAGGGGTGATGCTTGGCCTGTACGAGGAGGAGCAGGGAGGCTGGAGTGCCCGAGGCACTGTGGAGGAGTGAACAGAAGGCAGTGAGGGTGATAAGGGCGCACGCACGCAGACTGAGCCTCCAGGGGAGCTGTGGTGGCTGACGGGAAGCTTCTGAGAAAGAAGATGATACAACTGCTTTGAATAGGGAGCAACATGGTGCAGCTGGCCTTTGTTGTTGTGCTGAGACTTTCTCTGTAGAAAGGGCAGAGTGGAAACTGAGAGACTCATAAAGTGGCAAAAAGTGTGCTAATAGCTGGTCTCAGGTGGTAGCAGTGGGGTTCCTGAGAAGTGTTGGAATTCTGGATTTATTTGGAAGGTAGGAGCCGACAGTATTTGCTGATGTGGGAGAAAAAGTGGAAAAAAGGTAGAAAAAAAATACCAGACTGGTTGGGTGGAAAGAGGGTATTAGAGTGTAGTTTTTGGCTAAGCATATGCTTGTAATTGCAGCTAATCAGGTGACTCAAGTAGGAGGATCACCTGAGCCTAGTTCAGAGCCAGCCTGGGAGATGTAGTGAGATCCCACCACCACCAAAAAAACAAAACAAAACAAAACAAAAAAAACAAGGAAAAAAAGACAGAGGTCATTGTTAGGCATGTGAAATTTGAAGTGCCCATTATAGATCTAAGTGGAGATATCCAGAGAGAGTTGGAGTAGAAGTCTGGCTCTGGCAGATTTGTGTCACTGAGTGACACAATTTGAGAACACTAATAATGATGGCATTGCAGCCACAGGCCTGGATGAGCCTTGGAGGTGTGAGTGGAAACAGATCTGAGATCAAACACTGCGTCTCACCAAGTTTTAGGAGTGAGGAAGTGGAGATACCAGGAGATACATAGATACATAGGATAAGTTACATATATACATACATAGATACATACATAGGATAAGTTACATATATACATATATACATACATACATACATACATAGATACATAGGATAAGGAGACACATAGGTAAGTCTTAGAGGCAGGGAGAGGACAGTCAGAATGATTTCTGGGGTGGGGGGTCACATGAAGGCAGGACTGTCATCTGTGAGGAGCCAGGCTCTGTCCAACTGAGAAGTTCTGATGCCTATTATGATGTGCCTAAAGCCATCCTGGTGACAGAGTTAGGACTAAAACTATATTCTTCTGACTCAAGGTAGAATGGTTTCCAACTTCCATCCTGCTCCTGTAGGAGCAGCTTTTACACTAAGAACCTCTGCCTTTTTGTTTTGTGTAACCATTTATTGGTATGATTTCTCTACAGCGCCTGTCTGTCATACCTTTTAATGAGCAGCTCCTTTTGAACCACCTCGGCCATCAGTTTCTGGGATGGAGGTATCTTACAGAGCCCTACGAGAAAAGTCAGAAACACAAAAGCTATACAAAGCTTCTCCCTTGTTTAAGTGTCCTTTATGCTCTCCATCTTCTCATTTCTGGTCTCTTACTGCTCTGACTTGAGAACAAAGTTTGGAGAGGAGCTGGAATGCACAGGTAATTTTCCAGAGCTCAAACTCCCCGCCTCACTCCCTTAACTGGGGACACTACTGCCAGATTGTGACAGCAGGCCCCGTGGCCCAGCCCTCAGCCTGTGTGGCATTTGCCAGACATCAGCATCTGCTATGGCAGCTGGCCTGGTCTCTCCCACTCCATCTGCTCCCATGTTCTCTCATGTACATTCATTCTCACATTCAAAGAATATAATATATATTTCTCTAATGTATGTATTATTCATATGTATACTAATTGCTTAAATAGAGACACTTAAACAGACTCCACTTTGTAGCTCTCTTTGGGACATCTTCAGCTTCGCTATATGGGGAGCCTCAGGTGCTGAGGGGGCCTAGGGGATGGGCATCGTGTCTGTCTTACAGAGTCCCTTTCCTTTGAGTTGGTGTTATGAGGACCCATTTTTTCTAAATCTCCCATTTGGTCAGTCTCAGCACTTGGCTTCTGCTTTCATAAACTGTTCTTTTCTTAACGGATTGGACTTTGGCCATTCTCTGCAGTTGCTCAGCTGTTCTGATTTAATCCCATTTTGTCCTCTGGGATCCTGCCACTTCCGTACCCTCTCTCATGACCCGAATCCTGTCCTCTCCCTTCCCTGGCTTCCTCACCCATTTGTGGCCTTGTGAGTGTGCTGTGTTCCCTGCTCCAGTCTGGCTTGCTTTGCCTTGCCAGGTACCATGTGGCAGCCCCAGGCACGGGTTTATTATTCACAGGGGACAGGTCTGACTCAGCGCCGGGGTGTTCTTTCAAGTAGGGTCAGTTTATCCTGCAACAAGCTAGCGAGGCTCAGTAGCAGGCTTCTGGTGAAGCCTGCAATTACTCATAGGGTATGATCTAATCAAGTTTTGTTTTGTCAGCTTTGTCATTCTAATAAACACTTTGGAACTCATAAAACACTTAAAAAAGCCAGGTACTTCGATTTTAGTATCGGTGATAATACGAATAGCTATTCTGAAGAAAACAACACATCATAAAAGCTAGTGCTGATTTAATATCATATTGTTTTGAAGTCCCATCAAGCTGTTGTACATCTGTTTCCACTGGTTTTAACATGTGGTATCTTACTATATTTTACTATATGCGATAGTATAAACAAAATTTTTTATAGGCAAAGATATAATATAGAAATCATTGTTCAATCATTGTTAACTGGTTCTAAATACCCTGTAATTTCTTCATTCTCTTGAATAGCTTCAGACTGACTTGGTATGCTTGATGCTATAGTATATGAAGTTATACTCAAATAATTCAAGGAAGGAGGCACTATGGTGACTACTATTATGTTAGATTATCTGGGGGTGAAACACAATGATGCTTAAATTGTTCGGTTCTGACCTGTGTTGTTGTAATACAATGTCCTCTTTTACCTCAATCCCATCCTTTTTAAAAATTAATCTATTTTTTTCTTACATTTTTTTTCAATTAAGGGAAAACTAAATTTAAAAATAGCGGGATATATTATAGTAACTTTTTTGTTTTCCTGTTAACCTGATATGATCCCCAGTATTGCTCTCTCCATCTTGTTCTGTCAGATTTTACTATATTCTATTTTGTTTGATAGTATCAAGTTTGAGGGTATAGGCAACCACTTTGAAGGCAATAAGATTTACTAAGATGCCCATTCTGGTTTAACTATTTTCTTCTTTTGAAATCCTGTAAGGTCTCCTGTGTAGGTTTTATTGGTCTTTTTCTGTACTGTTTTGATCAATTCTATTATACCTGACAATATAGGCAACTTTTTTAAAAAATAGCAAGAGGCACAATGGTAACCATTTTAGCTCTCCTGATATTCTATTTTTACATCATGTACTATGCCCATCCTTTTGTTCTAACCCACTCTGTTTTGTTTAGCCACATTAGGTTTTATTCTCTCCAAAAAAATAATAATAATTGTGGGAGTAAAAAAACCCAAAAAGTATAAATGTTATTAAAGAGAGGAAAGGAAGGTGGTCTAAGGGATACAACTGCATGTATGTTTGAGTGCTAGGATGGAAATCCATATTACTGAACTTTTTTTGGATCATTGATCGGCACTGTCTGCAATCTCATTGTATGAAAGTTCACTTTACATGCTTTAATTTTATAATTTGGACAACTACTTCAAAGATGACAATATGTAATCTATTAATTGGTGATATCTTCCTGTATTTTTTTCCTTGAAATTCTGTATTATTTGTACCCTTAAAAAAAAAAAGTCTTCTGTGAATTTAAGATAATGGGAGAGTGCTGTGAAAGCTCTGTAATTGGCCTTAAGAAAATACAACTTTAAGAATGGATGAGAATTTTTTTTCTGTAATGTAAATAAATGGAAGATCTCCTAAATACTTCCTCCCCTCTTCCCTATTCAAACAGTATGTTTGCAAGTTTAGGCTAACATAGATTTCTAAGTACAGTTAATATCTACTACATTTGCACAGTGGGATATAATTCAACACTACTTAACACTGTCTTAATGTTATTTATAAGTCATGGGTGATTATTTTTATTCATGGAAGTCAGCTAGTTGGCTCAATTTTGAATGTTGTTCAGATTTTAAAATAATATAACTGCTATTGTTTAAAATAATCTAAAATGTGCCCTATTTTAGAAAGGATTGACAGGATCACTTTCTGAACATTTACTATGCCTCCAGTAATTTCCTGTTTGATTTGAAGACATCCTCTGTTTCATAAAATTTTTGAGAAAAAAGGTTTATTATCCTCATCCTATAGATGAAGTACTGAGAATTAATGAGATCCTCACAAAATTAGTGAGTGTCAAAAGCTGGAACTGGACTATACTAGGTGACTCTAGCATGTGGGCTCTTGTAGTAATAGCTGACAACATGTGGTATCTAGTGTCTGAAATATTTTACATGCATTTCTTTTGAAGGTTTTTTCTGTTCATATATAAATTTTACTCACACCAAGACTTTTCCCAATTTCTTCTTTTAGAAGCAATATAAAGTTCTACTAGTAGTAATACATGGCAAGAGTTTTGAGTAAGCAGTGTAGACTAGAGCACAACAGGATCTTAAAGATGAATACATCCAGCTAATTTGAAAAATTTGATTACATTGTGTTGCCCAAATTTATCCCATTTACAGAATAAAAAAATTTCTTCATACTGAGTCATTTTCACACCCATTATAATGTCACTTGTACATATACTTAACTGCTCATTGAATTTTTCCTAATGGTTTATTTTACCTTAACTCCCATCTGTCTTACTGCAGCTAAATGGCACGGCACTCATTTTAAGATGCAGTTGCTCAGGCCAAGCTCTCCCTGGAGTTAGTTACCTTTGAAGACTCTTGTGGCCCACCGTGCTTGGAGCTCTGTGGCTGCTAAGATGGACCCAGTAAGACCGATCAGGCCAATGATCGCTAAGGTTGTTTTTTCCAGGTTTGGGGGAAACACGCGCTTGTACAGGAACATCTTCTTTGTGCAAAGACTTTTGAGAGGTTCTTCAAGAAAGGGAAAAGAAAATGTATATCCCGTGGCAAAGATGACAGAATCGATGTCTGCTTCCATTGTCCCATCTTCAAAGACAGCAGAGGTCTCTGTAAACTCTTTCACGCTGGTTTTCACAGTGATTGTCCCACACAGAATGCAGGTTGGCAGCTCATCATTTGTAATGGCTTTCTTTTTTTTCCTTTAACAAGAAGGTAATACATATTCACTGTAATTATTATATCTACGAGCTACTTTAAGAAGTTATTTATTCAGTTGAAGAAACAACCTACCAGGCTAAGACAATGAATTAACCAAGGCCTAACTCACAGTTGTCTATCTGACTTCCCATGTTCATGATTTGTTTTCTTGCTCCCAATAAAAGGCTTGTGGAACATGACCTTATTCTTTCCTGACTCAACTTACAATTATGCTTCTCTTGGAATTAATTCTGAACTGTGCTGTGCTTAGTGTTAGGATGAGAATATTCAGCAATGCATTTGATGATGAGTTTAGGGTTTCATGTCACCTGGACCTCCAGGAATGACATTAGTAAAAGAGGGAATTCACAAGAAATTCTTTGGATAAAAATTTTAAAACTGAATCTGTTTACACTGATAATATTTTCACTGTGAGCATTATTCTACCTGCCGTATATTTACTCACATATTTATTTTACAGAGTTATATACTGCCTCTATAAAATTTGCCACAAGTTTTTCTAAGTTTAAATATATCTTGCCAAAGAATATTTAGGTTAAGCATATAACAATCATACTTGATGCACCTTTATACGTCAAAGTTTTCCTATACAGAGTTAAATTAAAGTATACCATTTCAGAAATTCTTGTTATATATTCACACCTCTAATCACCCAGATAAAATAGACATGTGTTATGGGTTATGCAGAGCTGACCATCTTCACTCTCTGATGCTTTAGTGTCACTGTTACTAGCAATTGCAAGATTCCTTAAGGTCAATTTACATTTCCTGATTTTCAGGGTGGTAGTGAGTGATATTATCTTTCATTTTCTTCTAGCCTTTTGAATTAGTATTTCTGTTATTAGACAGAGAATGTTCCTATTTGAAGAGCTGAATGGACATTGTTCTAGGGAAAGAAGTTCACAATGGGAGAGACAAAGGCAGTACTACAATTTCAGAAAATTCTGAGTTCTGAGTAATATAGAAAGAGAAATATTGATTAAAAAGTTCCCATGAGAAATGCAAATCAAAACTGCAATGAAATACTGTCTCATTCTATGCAGAATGCCTATATAAAAAAAACAAAAATAGCAAGTTCTGGTAAGGACAGGAGAAAAGAGAGTTTTTATAGATTATTGGTGGGACTATACATTAGACATTAGGGAAAACAGTATAGAGGGTTCTCAAAAATCTAAAACTAGATCTCCATATGATCCAGCAACTTTGCTTTTGGGTATATATCTAAATCTCTGTACCGAAATGATACCTGCATTCCCTGTTTATTATACAAGCCTGGGTGTCCATTAAAGGATGGGTGAAAAAAAAAAGTGTAGTAAATATGTACATTGGAGCATTTTCAGTCATAAAGAAAAATGAAATCCTGTCATATGAAGCAAAATAGATGGAACTGGAGGACATTATGTTAGGGAAACAAGCCGGAAACAGAAACGCAAGTACCACATGTTGTGTCTCATACATGGAAGCTAAAAGTTGAAAGACTATTGGAAATTGGGAAGAGTATTGTGTGAGGAGAACGTAGAAAGAAGTGGCTGGATTTGACCAATGCATGCATGGAAAAATCACACTGGACCCCACTAATATATGCAATTGATATACGTTAATAAAAATTAAAAATCCCCATAAAAGGTAAACTTTACCCTTTTGTAATACTTAATCCATAATTCTCATGGTTCAATCTTTTATTCATCTGCCTCTCTTGTATCCAGCTTAGCAAACATGAAGGTACAACTTGAGCAAACAAATTATTGCATCTTGTTGTCCTCATATTGCGAGGGTAGCCCCCGTCTGAAGAGCGGCTGTTAACCCAGGTGCCAGTCCTGGTACTAAGAAATACCTAAGAGGTAAGGAAGGAAGGAGGAATACACATCTGTTACTTTGTGACATTTGCATGTGATGGTTTTCAAGTGTTCTTATTACATTCTGACCTTCTAAAGTAGAATTTTTAAAATAAATTTGTTTAAATATATATGCTGCTGCTATTGTTTGAAAAAACACTTTACCTGTTTTATGTATTTAAGTACTTTCATTATACTTATAGAATTATATAAAGTTATAATGTTTGTAGATATATATATATATATATATATATATATAAATATATATATATATTGATCTGGCAATTCTTAGATGTAATAATATAGAACTTAAAGTATACATTAAATTCAATTTTACTTGAATTAATTACAAATCTATTTTTTTCTGAAGCTAATTATGGTCCTTTAATTTATGCTAAAGTCAATTGTCAGTTTTATGTCTGGACTTTCAGAAATCATATATATATTTCTTGGTCAAATTAAAGCTTGCTTTTAAAGGGCAAAATTTGATTTCTAAAGGGAAACTTGCAGACATTTGGAAAAAAAGTCTCTTTTCAAAATTTTTTTGACTAAAATTAAAAAGAAAGATAATTGCCCTAGTTGGAGCAATTTTTTATTATTCTTCCTGAAAGAAACACCTGAAAATGCCGTGTCACCTGGGTATTCCTACCCTCTTTTGGAGATAGTTTGACTGTCTTCTACGTGGTTCAGAACAGACTAAGCGTGGCTCTGAGGCATTGTCATGATCATTTTTCACTTACCCCACGTCAGCATCATTTGGCAATTGGCCAATGTGTTCTAGAGCCTTGACTCTGTCTCTGGCCACCACACACAGGGACGGGAGTTGAGGCTCTGATTCAGAGGGCTGTACCTGAGCTGCTATTCGACTGAGTTCCACTGCGATGTCTCCTCCAGTGTTCCCGAGGCCAATCACCAAGACACGTTTGCCCTGAAAGGCTTCTGGGGTCCTGTACTCTTGGCTGTGCAGGATCTGCCCTTTAAACTTATGGATTCCTGGAGGGGAGGAGAGGATCAGACAGTGTGAAGTATTTAAATCTGAGCTTCCTCAGTATGTAGCATCAGGGTCTGTGGAAATTGGAAGTGCCCGAAATATGGTGTCCCTGTAGTTCTGGCCCTGACATTAGTGGCCGAATAGAACAAGTGTGTGAGGCTCCTGAGATGCAGTGAGTTCAGACACAGATTCAGTGTAAACTTCCTTGTTCAAAACATAGTAAGCCATACATTCTATATAAGTATTCTTTTTTTAAAAAAAGTAATCAGCGTGGAAAATCAAAGATACTACAGATAACAAACCTCACAAGCTATCATGAACTACCAGCATGAAAAGTAGATTATTTCTGGTCTTATATTATGATACCCCAGGATATTAAGTCTCATATCCAACTGTGATTTCTCTCATGACCACTACCATCTTTTATTCAAATATATATTTGATATTTTTTAGATATTGAATAAGCACCTCAAACTGTGAAAGGTAGAAAAGCTAACAACTATAAATATATATGCACCCACTATCAGAGTACTTAAATATATCAAACAAATCTTATTAGATATAACTGGAAAATTACCCTCCAGTACAAAATTGTAGGGGACTTTAAAACCCCTGTTCTTCAATGGACATATATTCCGGAGACAAAAATCAACAAAGCAATAGTAGAATTAAGCTGTGCCAAATATGTGTAACAAGCATTTAAAGAACATTCTATTGAATAGTTAAACATTCTTCTCTATGTCACTTGGAAATTCTCCAAGATAAATCTTAATGTAGGTAGGGAACGAGTTTCAACAAATTTAAAAAATTGAAATCATATCAGGTATATTTTTTTTCTAACTGTAACGCAGTAATGTTAGAAATACTAACTAAAGTTTTGGGTACTGTACAATTACATGTAAGTTACAGAACTTACTCTTGAATAACCAATTAATCAAGGAATAAATTAAGAAGGAAATTTGTAAGCCTGTTGAAACAATTGAAAATCAAAGAACAGCATAGGAAAACCAATGCAAAATCAGCACTGAGAATTTTATAGCAAGCAGTGTCCCACCAAAAAGCGGAACGATCTCAAACAAATATCTGATCATTGCTCTCTAAAGAACTAGAAAAGAACCACAAATCAAACCTAAAATTAATAGGAGGATAGAAACAATGAAGATCAGAACAGAATTAAGTGAAAAAGAGACTTAAACATCTTTGAAAAGATTGTGAAATGAAGGGCTGGTTTTTCAAAAACATAAACCTGACCAATTCTTAGCTAGACTAAGAAAAAAGAAGAGATGATTCAAATAAATAATATCAGAAAAGGGAGACATTACAACTGATCACAGAAATACAAAGGCTTATAAAATATTATTATTATTATTATACACCAAAAACTTGATAAAAGGAATAGATAAGTTCCTGGACATATTCACCCTTTGAATCAATAAAGAAAGAGAAAACCTGAACAGACCAATAATGAGTAAGAAGACTGAATCAATAACAAAACTCTGTCACTAAAGCTCAAAATATAATGGCTTCACTGCTGAATTGCACCAAATGACTACAGAATAATTAATAACAATTCTTAAATTATTGAAAAACTGAAGAGAATTCTTCCAAACTAATTCTACAAGGTCAACATTAATCTGATACTAAAGCCAGACAAGGACAGAACAATAACAAAAAGAAATCTACAAGTTAGAATCTCTAATTAACACAGATGCAAGAATTATCAACAAAATACTAGCAAACAATCAAACAACACATTAAAAAGATTATTCTCCATGATCAAGTGAGAGTCATCCTAGATATTGCAAGCATGATTCGACATCACAAATCAGTAGAGGTGATACAACACATTAACAGGAAGGGTAAAAATCATACGTATGATCCTCTAATTAGACACAGAAGAGGTATTTGATAAAATTCAACATGCCCTCATTATTAAAAATGCTGAACAAATTAGGCATAAAAGAATATCTTAATGTAGTAAAGCACATAGACAACAAGGCCACAGTTTTCATGATACAAAATGAGAACATTAAGAGCGTCTCCTTAATTCTAGAAACAAGACAAGAATTCCACTTTCACCACTTTATGTAACATCCATACTGGGAGGTTTTAGCCAGAACAATTATCAAAGAGAAAGAAATAAGGACATCTAATACAGGCAGTAGGAAATCAAATTGTCACTATTTATAGAGAACATGATCTTATGCATGGAAAACCCCAACAATTCCTCACGAATTAATAAATAAATTCAGAAAACTTGAGGATACAAAATAAACAAGCAAAAATCAGTAGCACTTATATATAACAATGGAAAATTATTTGAAAAAGAAATCAAGAAAGCAATCCTATTTATGATCGCTACCAAATAACAACAACAACTTTACCTAGGAATAAACAAGACGTATCAGTATTAACTCTTCATGGTATAATGATGGGAAATCAACTGTGAAGTTTGTAAAGAGTGTTCAGGGAGAGCAGTTTCTTAACTTCATATGACTTTGAGGATCCAAAATGGTGAAGCCAATGTGGCTGGGAGATGGATATTAGACAGTTTGATGAAAGGATTTTTAAAAGTGCTGTGGTATTTACTGACTCACTGACATGGAACTAGGTGCGAGCAGATTAGAGGAGACCACTTTTACCTTTGGATTCTACGGCAGACTGGCATTAGATCCCTGCATAAAAGGCTAAGAATGGAACAGCATGCAAGAGATAGTGACTGCACTGGCTGGAGAGCTTCTTCCAGGGTAGAATATGTGGGTCAAGTGGACCAGATGATGGAGACAGCCAGTATGATGTCAATTCAAAGGGATTTGTACAGCCTGGCACATGATAGCCCATGACAATGGTCAGTTTGGAACTCAAGGCACATTAGAAGATTTACTACAGAAGGTGGTTATATATCTTGTAGCCTCCAGGCCAGCAGCAAGCCTGAAGCTCAACCACTATTTACAATATTGCTTCCAGAAAAATTACAGATGGAATTTTCATTTGATTCTTAAAAACATATTTGGAACATGGTATTTTATATATTTATGACTGATTTAAAAATTTGATTTTTTTCTTGCAAAAGTCTGCAAGTTTTATTTCTGATAATCTTCCTTCCTTATAAATTCTTTCAGTCCCTCAAAAGAAATTTCAAAATTCCACTTACTCAATTGCCTTTATGGTCACAAGTAAGTGACAGAAGAGTAGCTTTGTAACATCCTAATAATTTCCATGTGACTAAATTTATTTTCTATCTTTGAGTTTGAGTAAATTTCAGCATTCCAAATAATCAATTTTGGCCCCAGAAGAGGAAGATTTGCCAATCATTAGGTCAAGAATATATTGTTGGGGTCAAAAGTATTTTTAAAAGAGAATTTCTCAAACATTGTTATACATTGCACTGATCTAAAAGCAGTAACACATTACTATTGTGATGTCTATTTTGAAATACGTTCCTTTACATGTATAATTTTTAGGTTTTTCATTCTAAAACTTTGTGTTGAGCTTCCTCATACTCTGTCTTCTTTCAAGTTCTTGAATTTCTGGTTAGTGTGGACTCAATTGATCTGTCAATTCAGTCTCCAAAATCAAAACCTGTGTTTTATTTTTTTTAACCTATCACAGATCTGATAGTTTTGAGCCTTATTTGATAAGTGAACTTGAATTAGACCTACAAGATAAAGCTTAAACAACATTAACACAAATAAATTGATACTAAAATTTGAAATGCATGTAGTATTTTGTACCTTTCACTGTAATTTTGTAGACAGTATTCTTGACAGCGGATAGAAAGCTGTCTATAATCATGGGGAAGTTTCCAACTGCGAATCAATAAATTCTCTTCCAGAAGCACCCGAAAGAGTAGACAAGGTCTCAGGTAGGAATGACTCACCGGGGAAAGACTCCAGTGGTAAATGAGGATTCAGGAAATGTCCAGTGCAAACGAGGACAGCGTCAAAAACAGCTCTGTACTGCTTCCCTTCTGTTTCTGTGACAACATCCCACCGCCCACTTTCAGAGAAGTCAGGGCACTGTGTTACACTGCACACAGTAGTCTGCAAGTAAAGTAAACACTTTCTATCAAAACCTTTGAACCTCATGCAATGACTGGTATAGTAATTGTCTGTTTTTAAAGTAGACAAAGTCTTACAATAGAAGGTCTATAAATATTTTTTAATCTTGTTCCATAAAAGAAACTTGTGCAAACTCTCAAAAGTAGAAATATACAGAATATTCCAGGATATCTGAATCATTTCAGTGGGAGAAGGAGTCAATTTATTCCTGGTGAGAAGGGTATAATACCCATTACAATTTCTGTCGTAAACACTTGTAGTCACTTTTTCCCAGTGAGTTTTATAAGCAAAATTATATTCCCTTTCTTCCAAGAAAAATAATCTCATTCTTAATGCGTGTCTAGCATTTAGAGGAGCAACCTGGAAATTCACTATTTTAATAATTTATGAGTCAAACATAAGCATAAGGTGTAATGTGGGGACTTTGTTATCTGCTTTATTCATAAGCAGTAAATCAAAGCAATAAAATCAAGAAAAAATTATTTAAACTTCCTGTTTCCATTGGGTTGTTGAGTAGCCTGGGCCCCAATCAGTAACCTTCCATAACCCAAAGTATCTTACCTTAAACTGAATGTATTTGAGGAGATCGAAGTGCTCGGCAAATTCTCGGAGATAGTCCCAAAATTTCCCATGATTCATGAAATTTGGATAATCCTCGTGGAATGGAAAGTCACTATAACATGACATCTCCTTGCAGATGTTTGTCACTAATGATCTGTAGACCCTGGTCATCCCATCCTTGGAATATTCCTGTGGTGATAGCATAGTCAGTGTGACAGCAGGGAGGTGATCTCAGGGGCTTGTGCCAGCTCACCCTAGAGGGTTTCGGCTCACAGTTCTGCTTGTCATGTTACACACTTCCAGAAAAGTCAGTATTAGGTTCTCTTGGTATAATGGCAGGAAATCATTAGTGGGATTGGAATAATTAATGCAATATCTTCCTAAAACTACAGAAAAGCTAATGAAATTTAATAGGTACCCTGAAGACTATTCCCCTTCACTGATTTTGTGAATGCAGGCTCTAAGATCCTATTTCTCCTTCTTTGCTATGCCTGCTTTCTCCCCTCATGCTCTTGTGTCTTTCTCTTTGTCTTTCCTTGGGCCGCTCCTTGCTGATTTTTCTGATTATTGTCTATGTATATTTTCACTCACTCTCCTTCTATGGACTCTTTCCATCACCTCTTAAAACACTGAAGATTAATTTTAAGAATAACAACAACAACAACAACAACAAAAAACCCTCTCTGAGTCTGTGTCCTCTCCTGGCCCTGTTTCTCTCCATCCTATCTCAGTGTTTAGTTTCCTTCAACTTATTGTATGGTTTTTGATCTCCACCGCTCAAAAGAAAACACAACAAAAATGTATGTACTAAAGGCTTCAGTAAACTTCTGTGGCTGTGCCTAATCTTTTTCCCCTTCATTCTCTTTCTCAGCTCTCAGTTTCCCTAAGAAGTTTTGCATTATCTAGCGGATCTGTGTGAGGTAGTTGTGGCTTAGTGCATCCTGCTCCTCTTCCACAAGAACTAGCTATATTCACTTGCAATTTTCTCTTTGCCTTTCTGCTTCTGCTAGACTAAAAAGAGGTCTGGGTTCTTATGTCTTGTGTACCACTGCGTCCCAGCAGGAGAACAGATGTGTACATGCTCAGTGGAAATTAATATTAGCATTGTGGTTTGGAAAAAAATAGCATATACATGACTGGAAGAAATTACACCAAAATTTTAATAGTGCTGAGCTATGGGTATTACTACTAATAATTTGTCTTTTTTCATTTTGTTTAATTCAATACTCTTTTCTAAAATTTAGAAAATTTTTAGATAGGAGAAAGGAATTTAACTGCGAGGGCAATTGTAGCAGAAGCTACACAAACCAGATTCAATGCTTTATTAGCACCCTGAGTTTTAGTACTTCATGAAACTCACAGTAAATGAGAAAAAAGTTTCATTTCCCCTCCATGTGCACTATAATCCTAGGGTTTTGACTATTCCTGCCTGTGTACTTTAGCATGTTTTATTTTTTTATCATCCTAAGATTCAGCAAGCGTCCCGCATTCATACCAGTTCATAAGGGCTGCCCCTCACTGGTACAGGTTGGATGGGTGCTGACCTTCTGTCCCCCTGAAGCACTTGGTACTTTTCCTGCCTGGATTCCACCTTCTGACACCTTCTCACCCTACCACACGGGCAGGACACTTCACCCACAGTGGATACCTTGCTGCTCCTCCTAACTAGGACCAGTCCTGGCCAGGCGCAGATGATATTTATCACTTCTTGACCCATTTTCTGACGCTGGAACAGCTTCCTAGCCAGGAGTATTGTCCTGTTGATTTTCTATTCTCCTATTAAGAAGAATTGCTCAGTTCCAGAGTGCCTTCTATTCTGATATTGTAAAAGCTCTTTCTCAGCCCACCAGACCTTTTAAATCTGGGCTCCTGCATCACTCTGGGTGTCTTCCAGAAGACCTGAACAAAGGTTTGGGGTTGGCTCTCCACTCTTAGGCCAACCTCCATCCTCCTTACAGGGTAACCTACTCCATATTCACCAGTGATACAGCACTCTGCCGCTTTGTTTTATTATGTCTGTGGTGCAGAAGCCATCATAAACTTCCAACACTGTTTTGTCTTTCAGAAGTAACTCTTTCCTTCTTTCTCTCCCCAGATTCCTGACCACGCCCTGCCCATTCTCACGGCTCCCCACTTATCAGACTGCAGCTGCATAGTGCACAGCACTGTACCATGCACACATTTGTGTGGCCACTGTGAGCCACTCCCTTAATGGGTCACCAAGAAAGGCCAAAGCCACCTGACTGAGCAGAAACAGAGCGACTGTCCAGATTACAACTGACGCAGAGGGGCACAGGTGAGGCACGCACAGTAAACTTCCATAGTCCCCCGAAGTCATCGCTTCTCTCAAAGCAGGTGGGCTCCAGGTCCTCGTCCAAGCAGCATTTGATGGCAGACAGGCCGCTCACCCCAGCTCCAATCACTGCGACTCTCTTGGCCATGGGATGCTCTGTGGGAGGAAGGCTCTGTATTTAGCAAGGCTGGAACAGAGCCTGGGACACAGGAACTTGCTTAGATAGGGCTAGAAACATTCTTTTTTCACCTTTGAGTGGAGGCTGAATCACATATTCGCTAAAAAATATATGCAGGTTGTTTTAAGTACTGGCTTTTTGACCTATTTGTGACCTGTTAGCTGCGTGACAATGAACTCACTATTTATCTTCTCTATACTTTTTCTCTCCAGTAAAATGGGGATGATGATAATAATAGTAATAATGACAATGATAATTATGCATTTTTAAAGGGTTAAATGACTCATACACATTGGAGGAGGTTTAGAAGTGTGTTTACTATGTAGTAAAACACTCAATTAAATTTAGCAGTTATTCTTATCATTATCCACTGTGGCCAGTATCTTAAGCCTTTGGGGTTAGAGTCCCCTCAGTATTAATGGTCCTTTTGCTATCATCTTGTACCTCTGCATTCTAGGAATTGCAGTCAGTAAAAATGTCAGTTTGTATTCAACACATCCACACTCCTAAATAACCACTGATCATGCCAGGTCGTGCTGCACAACAAGGACATTACATGCCATGTGGGGTTGGGTTCTTAATCTTGTGCAAGCAAAGACTGACTAACCAAAACGGAGTCCCCAAGGAAAGTCACATGGACATTGTGGAGTCAAGTGAGAGGTCAAACAGAAGTGATGCTGCCTGTATCTGTCAGGGGGAAATGGAGGAAGTATGTGTTAGGGGAACTTAAGAGCTAGAGTTTTTTTTTTTTTAATTTTATAATTTGGGCTTCCCCAGAGCCCAGTACAGCATCTACTTGATCAAAAGAGATCCTCATTTAATTTCAGTAATTCAGGTTTACAGCACACTGAGGCTTTTGATATATCAAGTGGATTTCATTGTAAATTTTCCTCATTCTCTTGCCCAGTTCAGAAATTCCACAAACAATAGTTGGCCTCAGAATATTTGCGTCATAAAATATATGTAAATCATTTGACTTTGCGGAAGATACATTACTTTTTGAGGAGCGATGTAGCTGTTTAACCCGTGTGATTTCTGTAGTTGGTGATACTTATCATAGTGGTATTTGCCTCAGGGAACCAACAGAGCAAATATTTATTGATCTCCTTGCATCAGCAGGTGGGTAAACAGCAGCATCTCTCATCCTAACTGAAGGCTGCATTGCTAAGGAGAGGCAGAGTCTGCCCTGAATGTGGGGTTCCGGCTCTGAAGCCAGGATGTGATTCTGTTGTTTGCTCAAGAGCCTGAGATGCTGTGGGCTTCCTGTCACTAAGCCTCTTCCTTCGCCTTGGCTCAGTTTTCCAATGCACATTTGGAAATCTGTCCCTAGGGCTTTCCAGCTTCCCTCCTAATCAGATCAGCAGTTTCATGGAGAAGCAAAGCGGATTTACTGACTACAGAGAGCAAGGAAGACTTTTGAGCTCTCAGATCCGCTCAGACACATCAGTTCTGGGCCGATTCATGGACTTGCACTGAGAATCAGTTATTTTCTAGGGTTGCCTGTTCCAGAATTACTGACTATTCTGTAATAAGGATGAGATCATCATACTGACTCATTATCAACTGCCAAGTTTATACTTCTCCCTTTTAGTTTATCAGGGAGTGCTTTTATTTTAGTTAGGTAGTCTGGAAGGAGACTGAGCTGTAGAGTCATCAGAACTGGGTTTGAACTTTGGGTCTGCTACTGACCAGTTCTAAGACCCTGAGAAAACCACTGAAAGTCTTAGATACATTATTTGTAATATGAGAAAAATACTTCTGTTAAGTGAGTATAAATCTAGACAACATCATTTACACACAATAGTGATTCAGTGTTCATTTTCTAGCTTTCTGGTTTCCCCCCTCCTTCTTTCCCTTCTCCCTAAAAAATATCAATCATGCTGTTAAAATTTATCAGCAAGTTTGGAGACATATAGGCAAGGTACCTATGGGTTTTCTCGAGTTGAGAAATAGGAGGTCTAGCTGGTTTCTAACTAGAAAGAAATAGCCTCCCCCATTAGAAACACTTGAAGTTCTAGCCACTCAATGAAGGTATGGCATTGGCAGAGCTGTGCTGTGCTCTGTCTTTGAATGACATAAAATAAATGGTCATTAACTGCATTGGCAAAATGAGACATATGGTGAACCGAATGGGCTGGCAGGAAAGAAATTCACACAACAGATGTGCGCTGGGTACCTATAAGGGAACTAACTCCCCAGATGATTAAGACTCAGCCACTGAACAAAAGTAATAATGCCTTGGAAGTTAAAAAAAAGAAAAGAAAACCGAGACAGTGACATGCCTAAAAAATTCTGCAGTATGCAGCGAGGCTGATGTTCAAGGCACACACATTAAGACTACAACACAGCATGAACTGCAGCTGTCTTTGGAGGGGGCTGTTGGTAAGGGACTGAGATGAAACACCCTGGCTTTTAAAGATGAGGGACTATACAAGCAGCAGAGGCAAACTGGGAATTTGCATCTTTTAAAATCAATCCATATTTACAGGCTATGGATTTCTGAGTGAAAGCAGCCTGGCTAAAACAAGCTTTAAGTCAGTAAGGAAAGGTGAGCAAACTGGCAGTGGGGAGTTCTGAGTCCTCTGTTCTGCTTCTATCAAGTGCTATGCAGATTTGGGCAAAATTCTGTATTTCTCAATGCTACATTTTCCTCATTTATAAGATAGACAGTTAAAGGTTCTGTTTCTTCTCTTTTTAGTTTGAAAAGTTTGTTTTTGGATCTGAATAACAAGTAATTAACAAACAAATGCATCAAAATGAATCATGAATTCATGAAGGGTGGGAGGGACTAGCACAGTTTTGAAGAGCTTGGAGCATTCAAGGTGGGTGCAAGCTCTTTGAAAACTATGAAGTATGCTGCAAATAATAAAGTGGTTTGTTGCTTAAAGTTTGCTTATATCTAGTCCCTTGGCAGAAGGGAATCCTGTAAGCTCCATCTTTTTCATCTTTTTTCCCCTAGTAGTGGAAATTGCCTATCTATCTATCTATCTATCTAATCTGAGACAAAGGTTTGAATTCTGCCTTTCCTGCCTCCCTGGTTTGTGGATGTGTGTCACCACACCCCTTTTTAACATCAGGGCACCTCCCCTTACCTAACTGACTAGCAATCATTTTTGAGACCCAGAAAGACATTGATGATTTGCAAATCATATACTGTAATCAATTATGATTTGAGTTTGGACTTTAGTCAGTCAATGTTTCTTATCATTACTACACTAATGCTCTAATTTTGTTACAGCATTTCCTATCACACTACCTGTGGAGTATTTTGGTTTTCTCAATGCCTGGAATTATTTCATTCATAAACTGAAATCAGAAGTGAATGCAGAAACGACCATGATTCTGTTATTGTCACTGACCTCTTCTTTCACATGAAGGTAACTTTATTCTCTTACAATTTCCCGTTCTTTTGAGCTTTTTCTTTAACTGTTTTTATCCTCATCAAGGAGATCCAGAAAAGAATCACGTTCCTTTTCAAGGAACTCACACTCCAGGGAGAGAACATTCATCTTCTTGCAAAAGCATTTCCTGGAGATATTTAAACGTTATAAAAAGCGCAGGACACTTACCTTGTTAGCATAGAGCAGACACTTGAACTTACTTCTCAGAGCCGAAAAGCCAAAGATAATGTTTGCCTTAAAAAAAAAAAATTAAAATCTAAATTCCTTGGTTTGAAAGAGAATACTGATTTTGGTCAAGATGCTTTCAGTTTAAAAGCAAAACCAGTCGTTTCTTCTGGCACACAGGTGACAGCAAAAAGAATTCTAAGGAAAATAATTGTGTATCAGCCTGGATTTGATACTTCCGCGATCTCGGGGCAGGGCTAAGTGACGAGTCAGAATACAGCTTCCTGATTGGGCAGAAGTAACTGCGCCCTTTCTCTTGGCTCCCTTAAACGTCAGAGTTCAACTCGTGACAAGTACTGCGTTTGTTATTGTGGCCTTTAGGGGGCGCCAAAGCACAGGTCTCCCAGTGAGATAGTCTGTGCTTTTGGAAACTTCAAATCCTTGTGTGTTGGTCTCTTGATTCATGGAAGGAGCTGTCAAAAAGGCGAAAGAGTGTGGGTGAGCTAGTTTTCGATGTCGGAGGCTTCTATTCCAAAATCATGACTTTAAAATTCAAGACTGATAAAAAATTCATGTAGGATCATCCTTCAGATTGAATAGTCAGAGGGAGCCTGTATATTATGTTTGAGAAAGAATAAAATTATTTTTAGGTATTCACCAAAGGCACAAAAGAAGCAGCAACAGTAAAATAATAGTAAGTAGCTATCCTTTTCACTTTTTCCCACTAGATCTTACAAGTTAACATAGCACACTATCTCAGGTTTTATATTCAAGGACTTTTTCCAGCATGGTTCACTGAGCAGTTTCTGAGCCAGGAGTCAGAAATTAAAATGTAACAGAAATGAAGAAAGTGGCCCAGGTGTGACCGAAGGCAAAGTTTGCCTCTTTAGCTAGGTAAACGCTGCAGTCTGAGAGCCTGAGCCCAGTATCACCAGGCTTTAGATGCTTTCAACAGAATTTGCTAATCCAATTTTAGCGTGAAATCTGTTGTTGGTAACAGGAGTCACTGTTTTTCTTCTGAAAAACGTCTTGGCTACAGAAGAGTTAAGGGCAGTTTTTTCATCAATGAATACTGATGTTTACCTTGAATTCTTAACATTGTAGTAATACAAATTGCCATCTACTAAGCTCTTGATACCTTCTCTTTTTCTCCTTCTCTGTCCCTACACATTTCTTTTTGCCAAACCTCAGGGTGCCATACTGATTCCAGCATGTGTCATGCAAGAAAAGACACACAGTCACAAAAGCACAGCAGGACTACAACATACAAGAAAGTCCATAAAAGTTTGATAGTATGATAAAATAGAAACTTTACTTTCAAATTTCCCCAACAGTCTCAAGAATGTCGTGGCGATGTGGTGGAGCTGGCTTGTACAGAGAGAATGGATTCATTTCTTCCAACTCTGAGTTCAGTAATATCACAAACATTGACAGTGGTGGACATTTTTGGTGAGTGATGATGATACTGGCGATTGAAGCCAAGCCTTTCACGTTAAGCTACATCTCGGCTCCTTTTCAGTTTTTAAAAATCTTGATGCAGGGTCTCACTGAGTTGCCCAATTTAGGCTCAGATTTGTGACTCCTCTGCCACCACTTTTCAGAGTGCTAGGACTATAGGAATGTGTCACCTACTTGCTGCAGTGCGTGTGGGGGATTTACAAAGTGGAAATTGACAAGCAGTACAATTGGCTTCTCCTACTTTGAGCCAGTTGTTTAAGATTTACAAGTCTGTTTTTTTTAAAAGTAACTTTATTGAAGTATAGTTGATATACAAAAACTACAAACTTACTATATACAATTTGATGTGTGGATATAATTCAATGTGTGGTAAAAGTAAAATTAGTGATAGTGAAATTATTACCACAGTGAAGGTGATAGGCATGTCCACCATCTCCAAAGGAATCCTCGTTCTGCATGTGTGTGTGTGTGTGTGTGTGTGTGTGTGTGCACGAACATACAACATGAGATCTACCATCTTAAGTTTTCAAGTACGCAGGACAACATTATTAACTGTGGGCACTACATTTTACAGCAGCCCTTTAATCGTTTCTGTTTGTAAAACTGAAATGTTCCACCCATTGTATGAAAACTCCCCGAGGCCTGGGTGTAGTGCTGCATATGTATAATCCCAGCACTTGGGAAGCTGAGGCAGGGGGATTGTTGTGAGTGTGAGCCAGCCAATGCTACATAGTGAGTTTAAGGCCAACCTGAACTTCACAGTGAGACCTAATCTCAAAAACAAAATTGAAAAGCAAACAAACAAATGAACAAACAAACAAACAACCCTTAATCTCTGGCAACTACCACTCTGCTTTCTATTTTTATAAATTTGAATATTTTAGATACTTTATGTGAGTAGAATCATGCAGTATTTGTTTTTCTGAGACTGATTTATTTCATTTAGCATAACGTCCTAGAAGTTTACTCATGTGACTGAACAGAGCAGGATTCCCTTCTTTTTAAAGGATGACTAATATTTCATTGTATGTTAGTTCCAATTTTCTTTATCCATTATTTTTTCTTTTTTTTTTTTAATCGTTACCAGGGATTGAACTCATGACTGCGCGCTTGCAAGACAGGCACTTATGCCACTGAGCTAATCTCCAGCACCTATCCATTGTTTCTTTTCAATTATTTACAGGCATTTAGGATGATTTGTGATAATGCTGCAGTGAATATGGGAACTAAGATTCATTTTTGAGATTCTGATGTAAATTCTTTTGAATATATACTCAAAAGAGGGATGCTAGGTCCTATGGTAGTTCTACTTAAAAGTTTTTGAGGACTCTTTGTACTGTTTCTCTTGTTGGTCATATCATTTTCCCACCAACAGCATACACAAGTTTCAATTTTCTTGTGTGCTGGCCAGTACTGTTACCTTTTTTTTTTTTTTTTTTTTATTGATAACAGCTATCCTATCAGGTACGAGGTGGTGCATCCTTGATTTTGGTTATGCTTGGCTTTGATTACCTTTGCTATGATTGGTGCTGATATGTAGTCTTGCCTGGTAGATGTTTGTATGTCACCTTTGGAGAAATGCACATTCAAGCCCTGACCTTCATGTTGATTTCTGGAGTCATCACAGGAGCTGCTGAAAAGATGAAACTAGATTATGTGAGTAAATTTAAGTCTGAAGTCTTCTAATCTAAGTGTAATTTTAAAGTTCAACATTTGCAAGGAATTCAAACAGAATCATCCTTCAGATTGAGTCATCAGGAGGAGCTAGTAAATTGAGTTTGAGGAAGGATAAAAGTTTTCTTAGATACCTGAGGCACACACACACACACACACACACACACACACACACACACAGAAAACAGTAGTCCAATAGTGTTAAGCAGCCATCATTTTTATTTTCTGTACTGAATAAATAGAAGCTAACATTACAGACCATCTTAGGTTTTGTGTTTAGGAACATTTTCTGAACAGTCTCTGAACCAGGAGTCTTTACAGTATAAATAGTATAGCACTGTGATCGCCACTATAGTTTTCAGGTACATTATCCCTTTACAGAATACATGTTTTCATACTGTTGAAATAAATGAAATCAGCACTTCATATAACAAGCAATTCCACTAACATCACTAATGCTTGGCGCGGACTCAAAAGCAGGCAGAGGGGATTACTGCTGTTGTTATTATTTTAGAGTGAAAACAGGAAGACTTCAGGTCTAGTCCTGTTGGACATTGTTGGTGTGGGGAAGGTTGAGACTGATCAACCAGAAGCAAGACATCCTTGAAACGGGTATAGGTGAGTGTTTAGTTTTCTGGTTAGTCCTGAGTTGAAAGTAGAGGTAAACATTAGAAGAACTGGCCCTCATCCACCAAGTCCTGACTCTTCTGGGCTGACTGCTGCAGAGGTTGTAGTTCAGAGTTCTTTGCCACAGACACGCTGATATTGTTTATTTTTATATTCAGTCTCCAATGGCCATTGTGTATTTTTATATTCAGTAAAGAAGATAAGTTGTGGATCAGGTGCCAGCTGTGCTCCTGTGGCCTGGGGAGTCTACCTCGCCCTGTCTCATCTTGGGCACTACATTTCTCCCCAGGAGCTTACTGAGGAATGCTACTGTTGGCTCTGCTTTAAACAGACAAAAGGCTTTCCAGAAGTAGCTGAGATTGAATTCAGTGGGGGTAATTGTTCATCATGAGTTTCTGTGCTACCTACAAAGTGAAGCGATGTGACAGTGGGCATCTAGCAGAGCAGACTGAAGTGGAGGGAAAGTGATCTGTTTCCACCCGATACACTTCGGGAGCTCACTCTAGCCTGACTCTATGGCTTCTTATCCTTCATCCTCATCCACTCCATGAAGCTTTCTGCGAGGTGATGTTTTTCCTCTAAGTCCATCACTGAGGTGAAGTGAAGGCGAAACCTCCTCTGGCTGGAGATCACACCTTCATCAGAGATGACTGTGAAGTGGGCTGGATCCAGTTTGGTCAAAAACTGCTTTTGAATGTGTTCACTTTTGCTCTTTATTCTTTTTTCCTTTTCTTTCTCTCTGCTTTCTCTTAACCAAAGGCTTATTGGCTATCGTCTTAGTTACTTTTCCCCATTGCTGAGACAAATACCTGACACCCAAAAGTTGAAGAAGAAAAAGTTTATTTAGCTCACAGTTTGTGGAGGTTTCAGTCCATATTAGCTGGCTCCAAGGCAGGGTGGCACATGGCAGAGAGCCAGCCATTCATGGCGGTGGAAGACAGCAAAAGCAACAAGATCCAAAAAAGGGGAAATGAACCTTTCTCTGCCCCTTTTATTTTGTCCATACTGCTGGGATTAGGGTGGTGTCAATTCAATTAGTGGACTGGCCCAGTAATCACTCACCCTTGATCCCAGCATTGCACTATGAATCAATCACAGACTCTAGGTTCAGCTGCCTCCAAAAAAGCTCCATGTAAAAGCTTGTGAGGCTTGGGGGGCATCCAGACACAAACCATCACAGGTGTGTTATTTTGTAATGAATTCCAGTTGAACTTGTTGAATTTTAAGCCTTGTTTGTCTATTAAGGCCGAATTGTAAAAGAAGGTCGGAGTAGGAGGTCTTTTTCTTTCTGCTATGTGGAGGCACCATCTAAGAGCGCAAGAAGGTCCTTGTTTCTGTGGGGTAGATTTTATTTGGGTGTTTAGTATGCCATCTGGAACACACATTTTATTATGGAGTGTTTGTCTGGGGAGGGGTGAATAGTCCCAGGGCCTTCCTTTGGAAACTCTGAAACTAATTCATTGACTGCATCCGTCCTTTCATGGAGCACCCTGGACATCCTCTTCACTTTTTCTTTGACTGATGGAAAAAGAACAAAAGATTACTTTAAACAGTTTCTAGGTTTTTTTCACACGCTTTAGTCACCAAGTAATTTGTACCATTTGTGAGGCTATGCAAATATTGTTTATGGGTAAGAGGTATGACTGCTCAGTGTGGTGTGGAGCAGTTCTCTTCTTAAAGTGGGATGTCCCAGTTGCTTCAGAAGCTTCAGACGCACAGGGGTTTTAGTCACCAACCTCAGGCGTCAGACACAAGGGAGCTGAGAGAGGCCCAGGAATACCAGGGATACCCCTGGGGTAAGCTAGGAGAAAGATCGGGTGGCCTTCATTCTCTTGGTTTATAACTGTGCAGGCAGAATTTCTGCAATAGAAGAGCTAGAACCTTGTACTCTACCCTGTGTATTTGGAAAACATGTAGAAGATCTTTTACTTACAGCAAAATCAGGGAAACAGCTGAAATCAGAAGCGATATAGCTAAGGAGTTTAAGCAAATTTTCCAAGGGAGGTGGGGATTCTTGTATAATCTGGATTTTAGTGACCTTGAATGCTTTGTTATGTTAAATGAACCAGCAGCTCTGACTTCTCTAAGTTTTGCTAAGTTTGCAAATGATCACTTTATTCCAGTTCCAAATTCCAAATTCCACCCTTCTAGAATTTGAAGGATTCTGTCTTCCTCTTAGCTTCTCAGGGCATCTGAGGACTGAGTATCTGACACTTGTTCCTTCTCACTCTTCCTGACAGCTTTCTCCTTAGCAAATGGAAACTTCAGGTGACTGTGGGCTTGCTGGCATAGATGTATGATGGGTGCCCAAGGTGTGTGGAGTATTGGAGGGAGAGGGTGGCAGGAGAGAGTTTCCTGGTGGGTGCAGCTCCAGATGTTGGCCTGGAACTTCTGTCTTCACTTATAATAGATAATTCCATGCATCTGTGGTCAACCTACTTGCAGGGTAGATGATCCAACCAAGTGAGCTCCTTCTACCAATTAGGGGTTCTGTCTTAATTTGAATTCCTTGCTGTGGAAACATTTGATTGGACTTGAATCTATTCTCATAACCAAGACAAAAACCAAACCAAACCAAACCAAAACAACAAAAACAAAACCAAAAAACAAACAAACCATCAAAACCCCAAAACTTTTAATGTTACATTAATCAATGAAAGAAAATATTTCAATTGATGGGATTTTTTTTTTTGAGTGGCTGTGAAATGCTCTTACATGTTTATTTTTAGCATGGTTTTTATATGAACTTGTAAAGAGATTATCATTTGAAAAATCTTCATTAGGAATTAATGAACAATTTTAAGTGTAAAATGTGATTTTAAAAAACCCCAGTGGATATGGCTCAGTGGCATAAATGCCTTCCTGGCAAGCACTGAGTTTGACTTTTGGTACAAAAAAGAAAAAACACAAAAGCAAAACAAAAAACAGTAGCAAACTCAAGTTTTAATAAAAAACTCTAAAATTTTATGTAAAAATGTATTAGAAAGTCTGATTAATATTTCTCCACAATTCTATAATTTTTTTGGCTTAAATAATTTTACTGAAATATGAAAAGGATTTTTCCCCATGCCCACAGAGATGACCCCTTTTCTATAGCTTCCTCCAGTGTGGCATACGAGTGTGTTGATTCTGTGTGTGCCGTGATGTGAACAGGACAGGATTGAGAGCCTCTTTTCTCCAGTATCTGACCTTTACTTTCCCGTTCCAACAGTGTCTTCTCCGATTGTCACAGGGATCACATCCTCACTTCCTGGAAGTCTCATTAAAATATTTCAAACATCCCTTCTTCAAAGAGGCCTTGTCTGAGTGTTCTTGCTATGTCCCCTCCCCAGTTCCCACTCTGTCTCTTAAATCTGCTTCATTTTTCTTCTAGGCAATGATCACTGCCCACCATTTTACTGGTTATTTTCTGCCCACTAAACTGGATTATACATTCCATGAAGTCAGGAACGATAAATACCTTTTTTCTTAAAAAATTCTGAGGGGATTCTCTATGATGTAGAATTGTCCTTGGAACATGGAAAGGGCTCAATATATACTTTTTGAGTGAATGAATAATTGAATTTACCACCTAAAATTTGTTTCTTTCTAACACATATTCCTGTTCAACACTAAAGTCAACTACAGACATCATTTTCAGCAGTGTCTTTTGATCCGTTTCTGATGGTTGTCTCATAATGCAGGCAGCCAGTGCAAACCACTGACTGAAATTACACAAGCTTTGCAATGAGGCGGGTCTCACATAATGTCACTGAAGTGACACTGAACCACTGCTTAGCCATTGGTAAATCTGGATCTAGCGCAGTTAATCCTCATAAAACTTGAAAAATGACAGATAACTGGCAAGTGTGATCACAAGACAGAATTTCAAAAGAGATTAATATAAGTCTGAAAGACTTAAAATCTTAGTTGGAAAAGTCAATAGCTTTGAAAGTCAAACACAAAGTATAGGATGTTGTATGGACATTTAATCTTGCTCTAATATAGATTGTCACATAATTAAGCAATTCCGTTTAGCATACAATTTCAATTATAAACAAAAATGAGTTAGATAAAAGGCAAAGCAATCTTGATCAGACCTAGTTATTCCTCCTACTATAAATTATAAATTTTGGATTTTTATTTGAAATGGGTTTAGTGGCCTCTTCCTGTCCTGGTATCATTTGTTCTTTGAGAACTGGGGTCACGGAATGTGGTAAGTACAATATTTAGAAGTCTGCTCAAGGTTTCAGGGTAGGATAGAGGAGGGAGGAGTGAGCAGAAGATGCAGGCTTTCTAAAGAGGCAGTGTCTAGCTTGGGGTTTCACTGGCAAAGTAAGAGTAAACTCAGGGGGTTAAAGGAAGATGGGGGAATTGTCTCCCAAGGTAACTAGTGAGAGAGGCTGGGCTTTAGGGCTGTGTGTGTTTTGTTCAAATCCCTGTCCTGTCTTGTATTTGTGTGTGAATCAAATTTCTTCTCTGAGTCTGATTTCTTTTTTGCTGTGCTAGGGACAGAATCCAGGGCCTGGTGCGTGTTAGTCAAGCACTCTACTCCTGAGCTCCATTCCAGCCTTTTATGTTGTATTTTGAAACAGAGTTTTGCTGAGTTTCTCGGGTTGGTGTTTGTGAGCCTCCTGACTCAAGCTCCTGAGTACCTGGTATCACAGGTGTGTGCTGCCTTGCCTAGCTTTTGGGTCTGACTTCTGATGTGAAAATGTATAACTAAAAAAATTAGTACACTATCGATCTAAGTTACAGTGAAATAATAATGGCATCTCTGTTCTACTCTTTTCCTCAAGAACCTGTATCTAGACAGTTTATATCTATATTGTAATCTTATTTCTATAATCTTTAGTTGGGTTTGAAGAACTCAAAATAGATGCCCCTTGTACCTGGAAATTGTTGTCAGTGAAAACCTAGATACATTAACTAGTTATACAAGAACAGACATTTCTAACACTTGAGAACAATTCTGCCTTTGCTAATGTTTACCTACTGCTTTCTGCGGTTGGGGAAGTGATACTAGCTGGAAAGTACTGCCATGAGGAATCATGGAGAGAAAAAGCCCTGCCTCCTGATTACACAGCAGAGAACAGGGCTGGGTGGCAGTTTTTAAATCGTTTAATTCAGAGAATGGAAAATGCTTTTCAACTTTGCAGCTGTTAGCAGTTAATTTGCTGTGTACCAAATCCCCTGTATTGTCTCACTTAATGCGTATTTTAAGACCGGAGCCATTACTGCCACTGTTTTCCAGATGAAGACACTGAGGCTTAGACAGACTGGGTAGCCTGGCCTACGCTTCACCGGCAATGTTATGTAACATCCTAATGCAGGTGTCATTGCAGAGTTAGTGATCTTAACCACTATACTCAGCTCCCAATTGCTGTGTTTTTACAGTTCTAATTATTGACCCAAGGGTTGTCATTTATTCATAAAATTAACTGCTGACAGATAGTGAGAAAAGAACAACACCACAGAAATACATGAAGTGCGGCCATCATTCAGGGTTGATCAGCTGTGCTTCAGATATCCAGGGATGGTTACGCAGAACATGTTAACCTAGGAGACTGATCTCCATGGACAGCATCAATTGGCAATGTGCCTCTGGTTTTTGGTTGAATTTGGCCACACGGAGGCACTTAATGTTAAGGGATGAGAGGGAGGGAGGACTGTAATGATAGACAATTTATTTCCCCATATTTCTACCTTTGGGGTCATCATGTGCAGACTTTATTATTCTTCTGAAAGTAATTTTTCTTGTTGGGTGGCCCTCTCTATATGTTTTTTTCTCTCTCTAGTAATTATTTTTCTTCAAATAAACTATATTAAAATTTCCAGAAATTACCTAATTTGAGCGCCATCTTATTCCCATGACTGTGAAGGGAACAATGGTTATATTTTTATTTGAAAAAAAAGCTACTTAGGTAGCAGGGTATCATATCCATTGGGAAGGGATATAAGAAAGTGCTGAGAAGGAAAAAGACCATACAATAATTCTGATAAAAATGACTGGACCTGAACTTGGATTTTTTTGTTTTGTTTGGTACCGGGGATCAAACTCACGACCTCACATGTGCCAGGCAAAGTGCTTTTGCCACTGAGCTAAATCCCTGGCCCTTGGATTATGAATATTATGGTGGAAAGAAGAGGAGTGATGCACAGATATTTGGAGATAGAATTACTATGACTTAGAACAACACTTGTAACCAGTCAGATTTATTCTCATCAAATACCAGTAGGTGCTTTAGTTCATTTTTTTTTTTGTTGATATAACAGAATACCTTGGATGGATCATTTCAGAGAAAACAAACTCATTTGGGTCACAGCTCTGGAGACTGGGAAGTCCTAGGGCGTGGAGGCAGCTGCTGGTGAGAGATTCACGCTGTGTCATTATGTAGTAGAAAGATGAAGGGCAAACCACTGCCCGAGAAAGAGGACAAGGGGCAGCCTCGCTTTTAACAACCTGCACTCTCGAGCAGAAATCCAGTTGTGGGAGCATAGCACTCATCAGTTCATTGTGTGGAGGCACATGACCCCAAACCTCACTACACCCTCCTCTCAGCCACCACCCCCAGCCCTGCCACACTGGAGACAACTTCCAACATAGGAATTCTGGGGACCATCCCAACAGCAGCACTGAGTAAGGTGAAATTCTATCTTGTATTTCATCTCATGAATTTAGAAAGTGAAGACTGACAGATAAGTAGAAGAGAGGCAAATAGGATAGGTGCCCCCCAAATTTTAAAATAATGTGACATGGAGGTACTCTGGGAGGAATCAGCAACAATTCGAGTTTTTAAAGGTTTCATAGTCCTGTCCCACTGGGTCAGGATGGCATTTCTGGCTCCATCCCATTTCCCAGGGCCCACTAGGCGGTACTGGTAGGGGGTACAGGGTCCGAAGAAAACTTCCCAGGCCAGTCTGGGGTCCTTGAGGAACAGAAGTGGGACGTTGGGCTTTGCACCAATGCATGCAGCCAGCTCATCCATGTAGCAGATGTAGTTGAGTTTGTCTTGACTGGTGTCTTTAATCACACCCCTGCGAGGAAAGAAAACGGGTGGCTGTCATCAATCACTCTCTGCCCTGCAGTTCTCAAGTTACAAGGCCCACCCTTGCCCACCATTTTATTACTTGATTTGCACAACCACATTATATTTGGGAATGTGTTTTTATGTTGGAAAGAAAAAAGAGGGTATATGTGAGAATAATTTGTGAAAAGAGCTGGTAAAAGGAGGTGATTGGCAGAGAAGTTTTCAGTTTTCAAATCTGATATGAGGATTCAACCTGATCAGCCCAAATACAGAAGTTGTGAGGAGTGAACAGGATCAGAAGCACTGAGCATGCAGTCATCTGCATTTTGAAACTGATGTTAACAGTATGCTGAGACAGAATTTTTTGATCACTGTGATTGAACCTGGAACAGATAATGAGCACAGTTTATGAAAAACCATGAGTCATCTGTATACCTGTTGTTAGAAAATTTTCATTATGCTGCAATGTCATTTATTAAATAAATAGATAAACAACAGGATATTGAAATAACATTTAAAAATCAATAATTTTTCAATACACCAATAATAGTGTAGCTGAGAGTGAAATTAGAAAAAAATTACTGTTTACAATACCTTCAAAAACATAAAATACTTAGGAATCAACATAAACCAAAAGAAGAAAGAAATCAACAATGAAAATTACAAAATACTGAAGAAAGACGTAGAAAAAAATAGAAGATACACTTTCCAATTTCATGGGATCTGCAGAATTAATTTTGTTAAAATGATCATATTACCAAAGGCAATCTTCATTCAGTATAATTTCCATCAAAATTTCAATACTGTATGCCACAGAACTAGAAAAAAAAATCCTGAAATTTCCATAGAAACACAAATGCTTGGTATAGTCAAAACAATCCTATATGAAAAGAACCAGGGTAGAGGCATCAGAATAGCCGACTTCAAATCATACTACAAAGGCAGAATTATATTGGCACAAAAATAGATCAGCCAATGAAACAAAAGAAAGGATACAGAAACAAACACACAATTACAGGCATCCAGTTAGAAGACAGTTTTTTAATGGATAGCGCTGTGGCCAGGCATAGTGGAGCAGGCTTGTAATCCCAGAACTCGGAGGTTGAGGCATAAGGATCTCCATGAGCTCCAGGCCAGCCATGGCTATATAGTGAGTTCAAGGCCAGCTGAACCACATAGCAAGACTCTATCTCATAAATAAACAACCCAACAAAAACCCCAACAACAACTACCACAGAAAACAAACTGCTGAGAAAACTTGATAGCCAGATATAGAAAATAACAACTAAATCTCTGTGTTTTCTTTGTAGAAAAAATCAGGTCAAAATGAACCAAAGATCTAGGTAAAAAGCCTGAAACTTTGAAATTGCTAAAAACAAAACAAAACAAAACAAAACACCAAACAAACACAGGGAAAATTCTTGAAACCACAGGCATAGCAAAGACTTCCTCAATAAGATTCTAATAGCACAGGAAGTACTTATAGTAAGAATCACACACGAGAGCACATCAAATTGAAAGTCGAGAGACACCAAAGCACAGCAAGAGACGCAAGAGTGATAGCCTCAATAATGGGAGAAGATTTTTACCGGTTAGTTTTCTGACAGAGGATTAATATTTAGATTGTATAACAAACTCAAAAACACCACCAAAAATCAAATAGCCCATTTATAAATGGGTAAATGAATTGAACAGACCTTTCTTTAAAAACGTACAAATGGCCAATACATGTATGAAAAAGTACTCAACATCTTTAACCATTAAAGAAATGCAAATGAAAAATACACTCTTGTTCCATCTGGTTCCAGTCATAATGGCCAACTTCAAGAATACAAAGAACAGTAAGGGCTGGTAAGGTTGTAGGGAAAAATAACGATTTTACTTGGCCGATGAGAATGTAAATTAGTGTAGCTACTATGACTCAGCTGTACTATTTCTTGGTATATACTCAAAGGCACTGAATCAGCATACTATAGGGATTCTAGCATACCCGTGTTTCTTGCAGCACAACCCACAATAGCCAATTTATAGAGTTAACCTAGGTTTCTGTCAGCAGATGACTGAAGAAAATATGGTATATGTACACAATGGAATATTATTTAGTTGTAAAGAACAAAATGATGTCATTTGCAGCAAATGAATGGAACTGGATATCATCATATTGAATGAAATAAACCAGAGTAAGAAAGACAAGTATCACAAATTTTTCCTAACTTGTAGATCTAAAAAGATTACGTGAAAGTAGAAGGTAGACTATTATAAGACAAGAGGCAGGGAATGAAGAGAAAAGAGAGGGGTTTAAGAGAAGGTAACGAGGGTAGAAATAAAGAATCATGGGTCAGATCATTAAGAGATCATGATGTTGACATGCATTTATTGAGGTGAAAAGGTGTCTACTACACTTCATTTGTGAAACAGCAGGTGTTATGGCTGGTATCTAGATGTTCCTTCAAGTACTCATGTGCTCATGGGTAGGGGTTTTTGGAGATGGCTAGATCTAGGGCATGTGATACTGGAATTAATTAGTCCGCTGGTTTTGCATAGGTTTGCATGTAGGTTGTAGGGAGACCCACCCTGGGTATGGATGGCACTACCACAAGACTTGTGGGCTGGATGGGATAAAAAGGAAATGTGATCCTACTTTGCTGCTGCTTTTTTGTTGCCTCTTCTACGTTCTGCCATGGACTGTTTTTCCTCTGCAAAGTCCTTGTGCCAGGCCACTCTGCTTGGAGCCAGCCAACACGGATCGAAACCTCCACCAACTGTGAGCCAGAAATAAACCTGTCCTTCTTTAACTTCAGGGTTTGGATATTTTGTCTCCTCTCCGCAATGAAAAGAGTAACCAGGACAACAGGTTATAAAGTAGTGTAAATGGCACTGATAAGCTTTTATTTTCAAAAAGCATTTATGTGGAGTGGTATCAAGAAATATTTTTGGGTGGTATTCACTTAACTGTTTTAATATATCCTGGGGGAGATGCTGAGCACATTTGAAGCAGTATTTTTGACTTGTGTAATTATGACTTGGATAATTTCAGTAGAGCAAATCGATAATTTTTAAGCATGTGAGGTAACCCATATATTACTTGGCTTGATTATAATAATCATTTCACAGAGTATACATATCTCATCAGATTATATACCTTAAATATTTTATTTCTTAATTATGTTGAATAAACATGTTTAAATGAAGAAATTAAATAGACAAATAAATAAGCAAAACATTCCAGACGTTCTCAGTACTAGAGATTGGACAGTGAACAAGACAAGCTTGTTCTTGTTGTCAGAATTTGCACTTTAATGGGGGAAACAACAGACTTTGAAAAAGCTCAGCCAAATATCAGGTGGTCCTAGGTATTATGAGAGGTGTAAAGGAGCTAGCCTGAGCTATATAACAAGACCTTATTTTAAAAAAAAGAAAAGATAAAAGAAAAAAGAAAAGAAAAATTCATATTTACACGTTATTAAATCTGGGATACCACCAGGGATATAGCTCAGCAGCACAGTGCCTGACTGGCAAGTGCGAAGTCATGAATTCAATCCCCAGTATGGAAAAAAAGATTGAGCTACTTATTAAACATCTGATCAGAGCAATCTAGAGAGGGTTGGAATAGAAGTCTGGAGCTTTGGAAGGATTTAGTAAGGGACATAAGTTTGGGAGCCACAAGTGTGTGATGGTATTAGAGCCCCATGCCTGGATGAGGTCAGGTGGGAATGAGAATAAACAGACCTGAGAGCTAGGATGAGGTCTCACCGTGGCTCAGGAGCAAGGGAGATGAGGTCCTAGGAAATACGAAGATCACTCTCAGAAGTGGAAGAGTAGAACGGACTTCTGGGGGCATGTGAAGGCAGGACTGTCATCCGTAGGAGGCAGGCTAGTGTTCCACTGAGAAAGTCTGGGGTCTCCTATCATGTGTCTAAATCCACGTATCTAACTGGTGGCAAAATTAGGACTAAACTATACTCAGGCTCAACGTAGTTATTTCTTACTTCCATACCACTTCCCTAGGAATGCCTTTTATACTGAGAATCCTCGCTTCTTTGGCCTTTGGTAACAGGGGGTGTGAGAAAGTTCTCCCTGTAGTGAGCGGTATTCCATACCTTTGAATGAGCTGTTCCGTCTTGATAAACTCAGCCATCAGTTTCTGTGAAGGTGGGATCCTACAGAGTCCTACGAGGAAAGTTAGAAACAACACTAAAGCCACAGTGTTTCTCATTTCTGCCCTTCGACTGGGTACCTCAGAAGAAAATTTAGAGTGGAATTGGAATGCACAGGTAATTTTCTGGAGGTGAAATTCCCTTACCTATGCACTTAGCAATAGAATTTTATTGCCAAAGTGTTAGAGAGGTGGCCCTAGGGGTCAGCACTCAGCCTGAGGCACATGCCCTGGACATCAGCACCTGCTCCAGCAGCTGCTGGTCTGTCCCTGCCCATCTGCTGTCACACTTTTCTCTCTCCTTCTCTTTTTCTCCCTCTTACTCCCCTATATGATATATTATATGTACACAGATATATATATTTATATATATATATATATAGAGAGAGAGATTCTCTTTCTCTATATATTATATATATGACAAATGAGAGAGATCAAGAGAATATATAGTATATAGTATATATATGCACAGAAAATAGAATGTACATATAGAGAGTATATATGGCCAGTGTGTGTGTGTGTATGTGTGTGTGTGTATATCTATCTATCTATCTATCTATATATATATATATAATATCTAATGTATAGGTACATAGATATAAAGAAAAAGTACATAGTGTACAGTGTCTAAAATGTTTTTATGTTCATTTCTTTTTTTTTTGTCTTTTTCCTTTTAATCGGTACCAGGGATCGAACTCACGACTGCCTGCTTACAAGGCAGGCGCTTATGCCGCTGAGCTAAATCTCCAGCCCCTTATATTCATTTCTTAAAGGTTATTATCTTTTATGATCTCAATTTGATTCATAGTATGCATTATTCCAATATCACTGAAAAGAAATAAAATTCTACTAATAGTAATAAATGGAAAGAATTAGGAGTGAATAGATTGGGCTAGAGCAGGCTCTTGAGGTTTCTGATACATTCAGTCTAAGAAATTTGATTACCCTGTGTTGCCACCATTTATTGGACCTTCATAGTCAAGATGCTTTCTTCTGCTGAGTCAGCTGGAGTGATATTTGCACACATTATAATATACACACATATACTTGACTGCTCATTGAATTTTCCCTAATGGTTTATTTTACCTTAACTCCCATCTGTCTTACTGCAGCTAAATGGCATGGCACTCATTTTAAGATGCAGCTGCTCAGGCCAAGCTCTCCCTGGAGTCAGTTACCTTTGAAGACTCTTGTGGCCCACCGTGCTTGGAGCTCTGTGCCTGCTAAGATGGACCCAGTAAGGCCGATCAGGCCAATGATCGCTAAGGTTGTTTTTTCCAGGTTTGGGGGAAACACCTGCTTGTACAGGGCCATCTTCTTTGTGCAAAGACTTTTGAGAGGTTCTTCAAGAAAGGGAAAAGAAAATGTATATCCCGTGGCGAAGATGACAGAATCGATGTCTGCTTCCACTGTCCCATCTTCAAAGACAGCAGAGGTCTCTGTAAACTCTTTCACGCTGGTTTTCACAGTGATTGTCCCACACAGAATGCAGGTTGGCAGCTCATCATTCACAATAAATTTTTCTGTTTTCCTTTAACACAGAGAAAGAAAATTCACTGCAGTTATATGTAGAAGTTACTTCAGCAAATGTTTTATTCAGTTAATGGAGGGGAAATTACCCAGCAAGTCAGTAAAGTGAATTGCCTAAAGTCCAATTCAAAGTTGCTTACCTGAATTTCTGTTCTATAGCGTGTTTTGTTTCCCTGCTTCCAGGAGAAATCATTTAGAAAATGAAAACCCCCTTTTTCCCCATTTTCCAATTATGCCTTTCTTGGAATTAGTTTCTGAAGCAATGCTTTTCCTTAAGTGTCAAGATCAGAGTGTGCACCAAAGCATTTCATGATTAAGGTTTCATGTCATCTCAGTTTGCCAGAATGACATTAGATAAAGAGAAAATTAACAAGAAAACCTTTGAATAAAATTTAAAAAATGGAATCTATTTATATTGATAACTATTTTTATCATTTTACCAGATCACATTAGACATACTGTCTCTATAAAATTTACATGTCAAAATATGTATTGGCATTTAAAGTTGAAATTTCTGTTTTTTTTTTCTTTTGGTCTTTTTGGGGCAGGGTCACCCTATGCAGTTCAGGGTGGTCATGAGCTCACTTCATAGCTCAGGCTGATCTTGAACTCACAATGATTTTCCTCTCTCAGCCTCCCTAATGGGCTTATGGGCATGCACCACGACACCCAGCTGAAATAAATTTTACCAAAGAATATTTGGGTAAAGAATATAATAAAAATCACACATTGAGTTTTCTTTTGCAATATGCAAATGTATACAAAGTTATATTAAAATATATTATTTCAGAAATTTCGATTGTTAAGTTGAATAATATTGATATACAATCAAATAGATGAAAAAATGTGATACGCATACACAACATAATATTTAGGTGTAAAGAAGAGTGGAATCCTGTAATTTGTTGCAAAATGGAGGAAACTGGATGACATTATGTTAAATACAATAAGCCAGACACAGAAAGGCAAGCAAAGCACATTTTTCTTTCATATGTGGAAGCTAAAATTAGAATAGCAACTACTGGCAGTCAGGAAAGATGTGCAGGGTGGAGAGAAAAATGCAAGCTCGATTGGATCTGTTTCTGCTGCAAATGCACATGGGAATTATCACACCAAACCTCATTAATATACACAAATAACATGAAAAATCAATGGATTTTCCATAAAATAAAGAAAACAAGTACCCCTTCTTAATACTTAATCCATAATTCTCATGGTTAAGTGTTTTATTCAGCTTCCTTTGATGAATCCATCTTACTAAACATGAAGGTAGAACTTGCACAATCAGGTTATTGCATCTTGTTGTTGCTACCATGATGTGAGGGTAGCCTCCATCTGAGGAGCGGCTGAAAATCCAGGTGCCAGTTCTAGTGCTAAGAAGCACCTAAGAAACAAGAGAAGAAGGATAAATTCTTGTATGTCACTTGTTGTTTTTTTCTTTGATAGGTCTCAGATGCTCCTATCACATTCTGGTCTTTTAGTAACAGAGCATATTTGTAAATTTGTCTACAGATCTATGCATGCATATGTATTCCTATTACTGCCATTGTTTGGAAAAATACTTTACATATACATATATATATATATGTCTATGTATTAAGTATTTTCTTTATGGGATTACATAAATAGAATTACAGTATTTGTAGGTATGTGTATTGACCTGCAAATTTTTAAATGTGAATAACATAGAATTTAAAGTAAGGGTTTGAAAAAACAATTTTATCTGTGTTAATTATGAATCTATTTTTCTAGAGCTGTGATGATATGATGTATGCTAATATGAGACAGATATTTAAATTGTGAATCTTAAGTATGGACTTTCTGAACATTATATACACATTTTTGGCAAAGTGACAAGAAACAAGGTACATACAGATCTGATTTCTTATAGAAAACTTGGGGACGTTTGGAAAACAACTTCTCCTTTCTTTTTTTTTAAATGAAGTTCTTACTACAGTTACAAAGGACAGGAAAAAAAGAATGATAAGTGCCTGGGTGTAGCAACTTGTCTTATTCAGGAGCACACCTGAAAATGCCGTGTGGCCTGGCATTCACAAAGTATTCCCTACCCTCTTTTGGAGATAGTTTGACTGTGTAAAGTGTGGTCTCTTACAAGGTTCAAAACAGACTAAGCATGGCTTTGAGGCATTGTCATGATCATTTTTCACTTACCCTACGTCAGCATCATTTGGCAATTGGCCAATGTGTTCTAGAGCCTTGACTCTGTCCCTGGCCACCACACACAGGGACGGGAGCCGAGGCTCTGATTCAGAGGGCTGTACCTGAGCTGCTATTCGACTGAGTTCCACTGCGATGTCTCCTCCAGTGTTCCCGAGGCCAATCACCAAGACACGTTTGCCCTGAAAGGCTTCTGGGGTCCTGTACTCTTGGCTGTGCAGGATCTGCCCTTTAAACTTACGGATTCCTGGAGGGGAGGAAAAGATCAGACAGGGAGAAGTATTGAAAGCTAAGCTTCCCCCTTCCCCAGTATGTAGCGTTAGGGTCTGTGTAAATGGGAAGTACCCAAAATATGGTGTCCCTGTATGGTGGCCCTGACATTAGTGGCAGGACATAGAACAAGTGTGTGAGGCTCCTGAGATGCAGTAGTCGAGATACAGATTTAATGCAACCCTGTAGAAAAATCAAATCAAAATGGGTTCAAGGACCAGGTAGGTTGTTTTTTATGTATCACAGAACACTTGATCGACTGAATTAACCTTGTCTTCAAGTTTTGAAACTCTCCTTAGATTAATTATTCCTGTGGCCCCTACTTTCAACTGAATTTTTCATATCCAGGATTTATGCTTAATTCCTTTTCTTAATCTTTAATTCTTTACAAAAGTGCTTATTCCTATCCTGCATTGTCTTTAATTCAGTTAACATGTTATACCTTTTTCAAGCTTGTTGGATATTTTATTAAATTGTTTATCTGTGCATTTACATCCTCTTTAAGCTCACTTAATATCTTTCCCATTTGCTTATTTATTTCTTCTTCTTTCATTTTTTTCGAATATTTTAAACATCTTTGAGCTTTCTTTTTTCTTGCCTGTATCTTCCTACCCTTCAGTGGCCATGAGATTGGCTTTCAGAGAGTGCAGAGTTTTGGGGAGGTACTTTGTTGCCTCATTTTCTCATGTTTCAGTGCTGAGTGTTGAATGAAGATCAGTCAGGGTAAGAAAAAAATTTGTTGTGGTGTGGAGATCTCCTTAGTTAGTGTGTATCTTCCTGCAATGCCATCATGACTTGGTTATGTTCTGGATCATACTGGCCACACTGTATAACTCTGCAACTCATTTTCCCAGGGATCACTGAAAGTCTAGTCCAAAGTCCTTGTTTTTTCCTGTCTCTAGGGCTCATAGATCCTAACTCAGACATCACATGCTGAATGATTCTCTGGAATATGCCTTCCAGAGTGCTCTCATCTGAGGAGGCCTCTCTTGCCAGTGACTTGCTTGCTAAGCTTCATCTCCTGTTAGAAGCAGAATAGTATAAGTGGGCACTGAGTGGTGACCACAAGGCTGGACACCTGGTTGCTGTTGCTGTACTTGGCTTCTTCCTTCAGCAGGTTAGATTTCCCCCAAGATGACTGTATTACCAGATCTGAGCTGTGAGTGGTGCTGGGATCCAGAGGCCATTCTGCTTTTTTCTCTACACACACCCTTGACATTACAATTAATCTGGTGGGCTTCTTCTTTCAAGTTGCCTTCTTGTGTCTGAGGTTTCTGTCTGTCCCTCTTTTCTGAGTTCCTGTCATCTGGATGAGCTTATTCTGAGCATTTCAAGAGCATTGCTACTACTGAATTCTAAGCAGAAAGCTGTAGATAGAAGTTGGCATGGGCAGAGAGCATCATGGGTTAGGTTAGCATAGCTCTCCATATGTCCAGATGATTGATTTATTGAAGAGGGAAGACCCACCCTAGTGTGGGTGGCACTAACCAGTATGCTGTAGCTTGGATGAAATTAAAAGGAAAAAGAAGAAGGGAGTTTTACTCTTGCTTCTTCAGAGGAGCCCAAGGTTAATCACTGGCTTTGGACATCTGTCTCCTGGTTTCCAGAACAGGCTCTTCAGCTTTCCAACTCAGAACCTTCAGCTTTCCATTCCCAGCTTACTTGGGGCTCTGCAGTGAGTTCCAGGCCTTTGATTTTGATTGGCTTCTCTGGCTCTCCAGTGTGCCAATGACCCTTGTGCATCTTTCCACCCTGACTGTTCAGGTGGCTATTGAAAGCCTACCTTGAAAATCCTGTATGTATTTAATATTAAATCTGTTCCTCTAGTATTAATTTATACACCTGCTCAGGTCCCCAAAACCAGAAACTGAACAACAACTACCACATTCTAATTAAGGTGCTAACCAATTATGCAGAGTTTGAGAAGAATGTGTGTGGAGAGTAATTCTATGATCCCTAGCTTCTTATGCACTTTGAAGGTCTAAGATGGTTGGGAAGGAAGTGCTTAGGAGTTGGAAATTGTATGATTATTAATGAAGAATTTTTAAAATGCTGTGACATTTTCTGTTCCATTTCCTTGGACCCAGGTATGAGCAGTTTCAAGAAAACCACTCTGAGAATTTTCCTCTTGGCATCTATGGGAACTGGGTTTGGACCCATGCTTGAATAGCTATGAGTGAACTGCATGCAAGGGATGGTGGCTACGCTGGCAACAGACCGTATTCCACTGGTGATGGTGTGAGATGCGCATCTATGTCAATCAAATGATGGTCATATGGGAGGGAGCCAATCCGATGCCAGCTTTCAGGGATTTTGTACAACATGGTATCTGAACAGACAATGAGACTTCAGCAGAGGTGGAGTTACATGTTCCTTTAATCCCCAGGCCAGCAGCAAACATGAAGCTCAATGATCATTTGCAGTATGGCAAAATTATTAATTAAATTCTTACCTGATTCTTAAACACATTTTTGAATAAGGTATTATTGTTTAAAATTTTATTTAAGGAGAAAAAGAAAAAAAAAACAGAAAAAGGGTACAAGTTACACAGAATTTCAGAAAAAATAAACAGTAGGAAATTACTAGTTAATAGATTACATATTGTCATCTTAGAAATAGTTGTTCAAGTTACAAAATTAAAGCATATAAAGTGGACATTCAGGCAGTGAGACGCAAACAGTTCAATGACCCAACAAAACTCAGTAATATGGTTATCTATCTTATATGCTTAAATATACATGCAGTTATATCCTTTAGAGCACTTTCTTTTCCTCTCCTTTGTACAATGACAATTATACATTTTGGATTTTATTACTCCCACAGTTCTTATTTCTTTTTTTTGAAGAGAATAAAACCAAATGTGACATAACAGAACAGAGTCAGTCAAATCAAAAGGATGGACATAATACATAATGTAAAAACAAAATACAATGTGATCAACAATGGTTACCATAATGCCTCTTGATATCTTAAAAAGAATTGCCTATATCATCAGTTATAACAAAATTGAACAAAACAGTAAAGAACAAAGCCAATAAAACCAAAACATTGGAGACATTACAGGACTTCAAAAGAAGATAATAGTCAACCAGAATGGGCGTCATAATGAATCTTATTGTCTTCACAATTGTTGCCTATACTTTGAGCTTGGTACTATCAAGCAAAACAGAATAGAGGAAAATCAGTCAAAGATGGTGAGAGCAATACAGGGTTTCAAATAAAGTTAATAGGAAATCAAAGTGGGTTACTATAATATATCCTGCTATTTTTTTACTTATTTTTCCCTTAATTAAAAAGATAAAAATAAAAAAGTAAATAAAACAAAGGAGACTGAGATAAAAGAGGGCATAACAACAAAACAGCGCAGGTCAAAACATAGCCATTTAAGCAAAATAGTGTTTCACCACAAGATATCCTGACATAAAAGTAGTTACCATAGTGTCTCTTTCCTTGAAATCTTTGAGTATAACTTCATATACTGTAGTATCAAACATATCAAGACAATGTAAAACCATTCAAGATAATGACAGTATTACAGGGTATTTAGAATCAACTAGCAGAAAATGAACAGTGGTTTCTGTATAATCTCCTTGCCTATAAAAGTTTTTATTTATGTTATCACATATAATAAAATCCAGTAAGATACAACATGTTAAAACCGATGGAGACAGAAGAACAAAAGTTTGATGGGACTTCAAAACAAGATGATATTAAATCAGTACTAGCTATTATGATGTCTTGTTTTCTCCAAAATAGCTGTTCCTACCATCCAACCTTCTCTGCCTCATTTCTGTTGAGCTCTTTTTCTGTCATCAGTTGTCAGTTTGTCTTCTTCATTTTGCTTTCTGCTCCATTCATTGTGGCCTCTTTGCCACTGTTTCTGGAATCTTGGTATTTTTGTTTTTTAGAATATCCTGCAGTATTCTCTGTAGAGTTGAATTGGTGGTTGCAAATTCCCCTAGTTCCTCTTTATCCTGGAATCACCTTGTTTTTCCATCAATTTCTAGGGACAGTTGTGCAGGATATATCAATCTTGGCTGGAGGTTATTATCTTTCAAAGCTTGAATTATTTCCCCCCATGCTCTTCATGATTTGATGGTTTGTGCCGAGAAATCTGCTGTAATTCTGCTGGGTGTTCCCTTGTAAGTGATCTGTTTCTTGTCTCTGAAGGCTTTTAATATTCTGTTCTTATGTTGGATTTCTGGAATTTTGATTATTATATGCCTGGGTATACCTCTGTTTGGGTTGTAGGTGGCTGTGGTCCTGTATGCCTCATACATCTGAGTATCTTTACCTTTTGCTAAATTAGGGAATTTCTCCTGGATTATTTCTGTGAATAGCCTTTGTAGTCCATTTGTTTGTGTCCCTGCTTCTTCTTTTACATTTTTAATTCTTAAGTTATAGATCCTCTTATCATCTTCTAGCCTTTGTATTATTGCTGTTTGTTTCCTTGTTATTTTTAAGAAGTTTTTCATTTCATGCTCCCACATTACAAATCTGTCCTCTAGTTCAGATAGTCTGTCCTTAGTTTCTTTCAAGCTGTTATGCCAGATTTCAATAGAGTTTTTAGTTTCCTGGTAATCTCTTTGAACCTGCTTCACATATTCTATGTTTTCTCTATTTTCTCCATCAAACAATTCTCCCCTTTTTTTCTGTTCTTCCATTCCACCATCTGTTTTTTCTTGGGTGGTGCTTAGCATTTCTCTAACTATTGTACTTATATCTTGCTTTACTTCGTTAAATACTTCACTTTTGAACTCATCTATGAGGCTCTGGAGATATTGCTTTATGTCTATTGTTGCCATGTCTGATATTGCATGTTTTCTGTCCTCATTCTCCTTTGCATTTACCTTTCTTGGATCAGTGTTCTCAGGATTGGGGACTGAGGACCCTTTCTTGTTGCTCCCTCTTCCCATACTTTTTGTCCCTTCCATACAAGTGTATATAGGAGGCCCAGTTTCTTTCTTTGTCGATTACAGTTTGTTTGAATCATACCAGCTAGGTGTTCCCACCCACTGCAGTGTACTAGGGAGACACAGGCCTGGGTAGTCTCTGCTGGCCCGTCCCTTCAGGTCAACCTACTGAAGGCTTCACTGTGAGGGTGCACAACCAGGCTCTGGGACCTGGTTTTGGCTAGCCTACTGGGTCTTAGTCCATGGCATTGTTCAGGCCAAGTGCTCCCCTCCAATCCTGCTTGAGAGGGGAATCACTGCAGCATCCTGTTCCAGCTAGTCTGCCCGGTCCCAGAATGTCCTCTATTGGAGCCTCCTAGTCTATGGAAGGGTCCCTGTCCCTCTCACTTCCCTCAGGTTGATGCAGGGCTCCCTGCCAGTCCCGCTCTCAACTCCATTCGCTGATTCCTGCTCTCAGAGCTTTTGTGCGTCTCTCTCCCTGCTGTCCTGATTCAGATGCAGCAGTGCCAGCAGGAAACTCAAATCGTGATTTCCAGAGGTGTGGGTTCCAGCTTCGGGGCTGAGATTTTATCTGTTCTGGTTATAGCACCGGGATTGCATTTCCAATTGGTTTCTCTCAGCTTAGTTCGTTCCTGGGTCGGCAAAGTATATCTCTCCTTACTTAGGACTCCTCACACCACACCATTTCTGTATTCTAAGCTGGCTATCTCAGAGAGCCTCTGTAGCTGCTGTTATCTATCTGCCATGTTCTCCCAGAAGTCCCCAATAAGGTATTATTCATTTTATATGGTTTATATTTCATTTTTTCTGCAAAAGTCTGCAAGTTTTATTCTTCTTAACTTTCCTTGTAAAACCCTTCCATCTTTCAAATAAATTTCAAAACTTCATTTAAAAAGTGTCTTCAGGGCCATTAGTAAGTAACAAGTGAGGGGCAGCTTTGCTACATTTCAGTAATCTTCATTTGACTAATTGTATTTTCTACAGCTGAATCTGAAGAGATTTCAACTCTTCAAATAATCAATTTTGACCTCAAAAATTGATTTTGCCAGTGGTGAGTCTATTGTTATTATGATTTTTTAAAATCTTTTTGAGACAGGGTTTTGCTATGCAGTTTAGGCTGGCCTTCAGCTTTGTAGCCCAGGCTGGTCTCAAATTTGCAAACGATTTTCCTGCCTCAGCCTCCAAGTTCTGGGATTACAGGAGTGTGTCACCATGCCTGGCGAGAGTATATTAAATAAAATTTGCTGTTGGAGTTGAACTATTCACAAAAGGGAATTCTAAAACACTTTCTTTTGGATGGCTACAATCTAAGAGGAGTAATGGATTATTATTGTAGTGAATATTTTGAAGGACAAATATGCTCCTTTACATGTATAACTTTTAAAGCTGTATTAATCTTTTATATATTCTCCAAGTTCTTCACTTACTTGTTGGTCCCAATTCAATGAATTTGTAATTCAGTTCCCAAAATCAAAACCTCTTTTATTTTTTCTATCACAGATTTGATAGCTTTGTGCTTTACTTGATCACTGAACTTGAGTTAGACATGATAGATAAAGCTTAAGCAATAAGATTAATATAAATAAATAGGTAAGATCTGAAACCTATATAGTGCTCTCTATGGGTCAGTGTAATTTTATAGACAATATCCTTGAGAGTGAATACAAAGTTGTCTATAATCATGAGGAAGTATTTCAATTACAAATCAATAAACTTTGCTTTACAATCTCCCAGAAGAGCAGGTAGGTCTCAGATAGGAGTGACTCACCCGGGTAGGACTCCAAAGGTAAATGAGGATTCATGTAATGTCCAGTGCAAATCATGACAGCATCAAAGACAGCTCTGGCCTGTTTGCCTTCAGTCTCTGTGACAACATCCCACCGTCCAGTTTCAGAGAAGTCTGGACATTGTGTCACACTGCACACAGTAGTCTACAAGTAAAGGGTGAACAATGATCAGGTACAGCAGTGCACAGTTGGAACCCCACACTTGGGAGGCTGTAACAGGAGTCACTCTGGGCTATACAGTAAGTGAGGCCCTCTGGGGCTATACAGTAAGCTCCTGTCTCAAATGAAACCAAACCCAAAAGAACAACAGCAATAACAACAAAACACCAAAATAGAGGCTCACTTCCTGCTAAAATCTTTGAACCTTATGTAATGCCTGACATGGTATCTGTACCTGTTACTTTATATATACCATGTCCTGTGTTAGGAGGTCTATAAATATTATCTGTTCCAAGAAAAGATAAGGAACTTGTGCAAACTCTCAAAGGCAGTAATATATGAACCCGAACTCAAGACATCAGACTCATTTCCATAGAAAAGAAGAAAGGATCACTTTACGTTCCTTCTGAGAAGGAAATGAGTTACAATATTTGTTTTTTTAAATTCTAAAGAAAGACAAAACAGAAAATGAGTAGAAATAATACATACTTTCAAAGAAAAAAATAAAACAGTAATAAATCACTTGATGTTTACATATTATCCTCTTACAAATAGTTGTTCAAGATACAAAAGTGGAACATATAAATGGGAACTCAAACAGCGAGATTGCAAATAGTTCTGTTCAACTATCTAATAAAAACTTAGTAGTATGGTTATCAATCTTATACTCTTAAACATACATGCATTTATCCATATCTACATTTACGTTGAGATTAAACAAACCAAAGCACACTAAAATCACTCTGAACAACAAATAATAGTATTGCTGGATTTCACATCGTGACGCTCTGCGATCAGCACTGGGTACTGTAGTGCCTTTTTTACCTTCAAAGTATTTGTTCATGTGTCATAAGATCAGTTCTTGTGAACTGTTTATAGGTTCTACACATGCATGAGTCCTAACATGTATTTCTATCTTTCTATAGTAGAGGGAGAAACAGAAAAGCATCACAGAACAAAACATATTCCTATAGACACATAAAACTAAAAAGACATATAAAACTGCTTAGTTATAATATTTGATGTATTTAAAAAACTTAGGAAAATGAGATTTGCTGAATTATAATGTTTACCAGTTCAGACTTCTAGTTATTTCTCATTGGCTTCACGAACAAAATTCCTTAGTTCTTAGAAAAAATTCCTAAATTTCATCTTCAGTGAAAGTTTAGCACTTAAGGAGGAACCAGGAAACTGAGCATTTTAATGATTCATTTGGGTACAACATGAAGAGCAGAAGGAATGAGGGGACTTTATTAACTCTTTTGTTTATAGAGAGAAAAAATCAAGGGGTTCACATAAACACCTCATTTCTGTTAGACTGCCGAATGGGCAGCCTTCCCTTCTGAACCTTTAAGAACCTAAAGCATCTTACCTTGAATTTAATGTATTTAAGGAGGCCAAAGTGCTCAGCAAATTCTTGGAGATAGTTCCAAAATTTCCCATGGCTCATGAAATTGGGATAATCTTCATGGAAAGGGAAGTCACTATAACTTGTCATTTCCTTGCAGACATTTAATACTAATGACTTGTAGACCTTGGTCATTCCATCTTTGGAATCTTCCTGTGGTGAAACCGTAGTTAGTGGCACATAATGTAGGAGACAGGAGCAAGTGAACAGAGATTTTGCTGTCCAGTGTCACCCCAGCGGGAAGGTTTCTCCACTGGCTATTAGAGTTCTACTTGTCATTTTAAAGACTTCCAGAAAACCTATACTAGGTCCCCATAGTATAATGATGAGAAATCATTAGTGGGATTGAGATAATCAAATACAGTATCTTTCTTAAACCAAAAGAAACAGATGAAATGAGGTGATCACACTGATCACATTTGTCTCTTACTGATTTCATTCCCCCCTAGATTGTGAGGAGGTCAGAGTTCGTGTCTGTGTTGTGTACCTCTGTGTCCGGGCAGAAGGATATAACAGTACGTACTGAATAAGTGGAGAGGAATAGTGTCATTTTTTTGAAATAGTATTCAGAATACTGGAAAAGATTATACTGAGATTGTAATAGTCCTGAGCTGTAGGTATTGTTACTACATTTCATTTTTATCTTCTTATTTTTAACTCAGTATTGTTTTCTAAGGTTAATTTATATGTTAGGATAGGAAAAAATATTAGAACAACTGTAGATTTACCTGTAGTAGCAGCTACACAAACCCAGACAGTGGTTTCTATGCATATCATCATTTGCTGCCTGAGAAGGCTGCTCATAGTATACCAGGAAGAGATTTCTCTCTCCATTCTTCTCCCCCAAGATTGTAATCCTCAGGTTTTGGCCATTCCTTGCCTACATAAATTTGCTTATTTTGTTTTCTCTGTTATCCACCCAAGATCCAGCAAGTGTCTTCTTTTCCCTGAAAGTTTCCATCGTTCACACAAGTCAAATGGACACTGCTCTTCTATTTCCGCCTGAAGCAGCTGATACTTTGCCTGCCTGGATTCCATCTTCTGACACCTTCTTACCCATCACTGGGTGAGTCCATCCACTCCCAGTGAATACCTTGCTGCTCCTAGAAAGGATCAATCCTGGCCAGGGGTAGGTGGATTTTAACCAGTTCCTGATCCACTTTCTGATGTTCAAGTCATTTTATGGCTGACCTGGACATCAGAAATATGCCCTAGCTTCATAGTCTACTTAAGAAGGATTGGCCAGTTCTTGGGGTCTTTTTATTCTGACTATGTGGAATCTCTTTCCCTGGTGTAAGCTACTGCATATTCACCAGTGCTATTCAGTGCATGATATGACACTCTGCTGTTTTGTTTTATTAAATCCATGGTCCAGAAATCATCATAAATTTTCAGCACTGTGTTTGTCTTTCAGACTTAAATTCTTTATCTTCTCATATCCTGGCCATACCCTGCCCCTTCTCATGGCTCCCCACTTATGAGACTGCATCTGCATAGTGCACAGCACTGTACCATGCACACGTTTGTGTGGCCACTGTGAGCCACTCCCTTACAGGGTCCCCAAGGAAGGCCAAAGCCACCTGACTGAGCAGAAACAGAGCAATTGTCCAGATTACAACTGACGCAGAGGGGCACAGGTGAGGCACGCACAGTAAACTTCCATAGTCCCCCGAAGTCATCGCTTCTCTCAAAGCAGGTGGGCTCCAGGTCCTCGTCCAAGCAGCATTTGATGGCAGACAGGCCGCTCACCCCAGCTCCAATCACTGCGACTCTCTTGGCCATGGGATGCTCTGTGGGAGGAAGGCTCTTTATATAGCAAAGCTGGAACAGAGCCTGGGACACAGGAGCTGGCTTAGGTAGGGCTAGCAACACTCTTCTTTCACTTTTAAGTGGAGGTTGAATCACATTTTTGCTAAAAATTGCAGGCTTTGAAATCAGACTGTTTTGATTTAAGTACAGGGTTTGTGACCTATTAGCAGTGTGATTTTAGACTCACGTTTTATCTTTTCTGTGCCTTACTTTTCTTGCCAGTAAAAGAACACAATAACAACAACAACAACAATAATGATAATAATAGTAAAACTAGAATTGTGAAGACTAAATGATTGCTATATGTTGGAAGAACTTTAGAAACATAATTGCTACACAGTAAGAGCTCAGATTAATTTACTTACTGTTATTTTATAGTGTAGCCCATATTTTCAGCTCTTAGGGACAGATCCCTTCAGTAGCTACCATGTTGCCTCTCTGAATTCTAGGCATTGCAGTCAGTAGAAATGCTTGTTTTTATTAAAGACATCTAGAGTCTTAAAGAATAAGTGACCGTGGCCACGTACTGCAGTACAGTAAGGGTATTACATGCAGAAAAGGGGTAGGGTTCTTTACCTTGCATGGAGACAAAACTGATCATAACAGTCTCAAAAAAAGTCACATGGGACATTCTGGAGTCCATTATGAGGTCAAAGGGAAATAATGATGCTTATGCAGTATCAAGAGACATTGGAGGATGTATATGTCATGGGAATTAACATCCATTTTCTAAATTTTTAATTTGGGCTTCTATATAGCCCAGTATAGCATTTGGCTGATCTGAGGAGATACACATTTAATTCCAGTAAATTGAATTTACATCGTGCTAAGGCTTTTGATATGTTGACTGGACTTATTCATAAGTGTTGTTTTCCCTGTAACCTTCTTGGTGGATACAGAAAACATACCAACAACAGTTTCTCTCAATGTATTTGTTTTATAAAATGTGTTTAACTGATTTTACTTTGCTTGTGAAGATATAATATTTGCCAAAAAGAAATCTAGCTATACAAAGCCAATGTGAGTTTTTAATTGCATTTATCATACTGGTATCTGCTTTGGAGAGCCAAAGCAGAAAATATTTATTGAGCTTCCTGCACCAGCAAATGTGAAAAATATCATCCTCAATCATCATAATTGAAGAGCCTGAAATTCCCGGTGACTGCTGTCACTAAGCCTTTCCCTTCCCCTTGCTCAGGTTCACCACTGCACATTTTGGAGTTTGTCCCTCTGGCTTTGCAACTTGCCTCCTAATCAGATAAGTCCTGGGCATAGAAGCAGCATGTCTTTATTGACTACAGGGAGCAAAGAACTTCAGATTTTTTAGAGTCCACTGGTTCCAAGGCAGACTCATGGGCTTAAAGTGATAATACAAGAGGCTTGCCTGTTCCAGAATTACTGACTGTCTTGCATTTTGTAAGAGGTCTCCATTCCTGTCTACTGCAACATTTGTCATAAAATTTATACTCTTTTCTTTTTAACTTGTATTTCCTTTTGAGGCTTTCCTTTTGAGCTGGTATAGGAAGCTCAATAAATATTTGCTGCCTTAGTTCACCAAAGCAGATACCAGTATGATAAATGCAATTAAAAACTCACATTGGCTTCATATAGCTAGATTTCTTTTTGGCAAATATTATATCTTCACAAGCAAAGTAAAATGAGTTAAACATATTTTATAAAACAAATGGGCTCTGTTGTCAGCAGAATTGGACTCTACTTTGTTTCTGCTCCTGAGTAGTCATATGACCCTGAGAAAACTACTAAAATGGTTTTAGATGTATTATTTGAAGTATAAAGATAGTTTACATGTTAAACGATTGTGTGAGTATTAAACAATGTGTTATTTATACCAAAGAACGCGGCACAAAACACTCTGTGTTTATTCTGTACTTCCCTGATTTCCCCTCCATTCTCCCTTGAAAAACAGCTCACACAGATAACTTCATCAGCAAGTTTGGAAACACAAAGGCAAAAATACCTGTGGTCTCTTTTGGGTTGAGATGTAGGAGGTCTAAAGTAGGACCTTCTAACTGGAAATATATATGGCCTCTTCCAACAAACAAACAACCAAACAAACAGAAACAACAACAAAAAGCTTGTTTTAGGCCACGAGCTGAAACCTTAGATTTGGCAGGGCTCTGCTGTGCTCTGTCTTTGAATGACACAAAAGAAATGGGTAATCACACTGGCGAAGTGAGGTATGTGCAGAAGGGAATGGGCTGGTAGTAAATAAATTCATGCCGTAGGAATGCCCTGGCTAGCTCTAAGTGCAGGTACTGAACCAAGGTGATTAAGACTTAGCTACCGAACAAACATAATAAAATCCTAGAAGGAAAGAACAAACAAACAAATAAACACCAGTGATATCCCTTAAGGGTGCTGCTGCATGGAAACAGGCTGACATGCAAAAGACACAGATGCTAAGTCCTATAACAGCAGCCTCCCCTAGGTACAAATGCTTGTAGACTCTCTTTGGCCCTATTTACAGTAGGATGTTGGATGAAAGGGGCCTGGGGAGAAACACCTTGACTTATAGAAAATGGTTAGGTACTGTACCGGCAGTAGAAATACATTGGGAATTTGTACCTTTTAAAATTCATATTGATAAGGGGCTGGGGGTTTAGCTCAGCGGCATAAGCGCCTGCCTTGAAAGCAGGCAGTCGTGAGTTTGATCCCCGGTACCAATAAAAAGGAAAAAGACAAAAAAAAAATTTCATATTGATAGCCCGTGAGTTTTTGAATGAGAGTAACCTTATTATAATATGCTTTAAGTCAATAAAGACAGCTTGTAAGCAAACCAGAAATTGAGCGTTCTGAGAGTCCTGCTGTGCTGGCTCCAAATAAGCAGATAACTTTGACCAAAATTTCTCACTTCTCATGTCTTCGACATATACACAAAATGAAAAATTAATTTTTTTTACTTTTTCATTTAAGGCTCTAAAGGATTTTTATTTTTCAATTTAAAAATCAAATAAGGGGTGCCAAACAAAACAAAAACATGGATTCAAAAGTGGGAGAGAATACTGGAGACTTGAAGGGTTGGGAAAGTAGGAGATGGGTGTAAGCTCTTCGAAAAATAAAACTTTTTGCGACAAAACATAAAGTACTTTCATAAAGATTGCTTTTGTCTAGTCTTTTTGCATCAAGGAGTCCTGATCTACTGAGCTAGACCATTGTCCAACAGGAAAACCCCATCCCATACCTAACCGACCATCCCACACCTAACCACCGATACTTAACTGAAGAGGTCCAATGTCTTTTAGGTCAGAAAGACCTGTGGGTATCTGCAGACCATATAATCAGTCAGAATTTCTTTTAGTTTAGAATATGATTCATTAGTGTTTCTTTATCATTACCCTACTGGCTCTAACTTCGTTACAGTATTTCTTAGCACAATGGTTGTATAATATGTTGGGTTTCCCAACGCCTGGCATTCCTATTTCATTCATAAACTGAAATGAGAGGTGAAACCAGAATCACTGAAAGTCCTTTGCTTGCTATTCTCACTGACACCTTTGCAACTTGGTTTTCTTACAATTTCCTTAGCTTGGGAGGTGAGTTGGGGGAGATCTCCCCACTACTCCGATGACTCAACTCTAACCAAGAGGCTCTGGAAGAGACTGACATTCATTCTTAAAGAATGCACTCTTCAAGGAGAACATTCATCCTCGCAAAAGAAGTTTCTGGAAACATTTCCCTTTTTAAAGAAACCCAGGACACTTACCTTGTTAGCACAAAGCAGATGGACTTAAATTATTTCTCGAAGTTGAAAATAAGGTGGTGTTTGTCTGGAAACAAAAATGAAATCAAGACAGTTTGAAACTCAGACTCCTGGTTTTTCATAAAAGAAGAACGGAGTGCCGATTGTGATCAAAATGCTCCCAGGAAGACCAAAACAACTTGTTTTCTCTCAAACTAGTGACAGCGCAAAATATTTGGGGAAAAATGGCATAGCCACATGGTTTTAATACTGTATCTCATAAGAAAGCTAGACGCCAAGTTAGAATAAAGTTTTTTGATTGGAAAGAAAGATAGGGCTCCTACCTTTTAACCCCACCCTCCTAAATGTCAAAGTTCAGCCCAAACCCCAATTACCAGAGAAGCGCTTGGTAAGCAGTGCTGTGGTCACTGTTGTCTTCAGAGGGTGCTAAATCACAGCCTCCACAGCCAGGCGAGCCGTCTGCTCCCAGAAATGAGCATGCATAATCACAGGAGTTGTCAAAAAGAAGATACTAGTGTAGGTGAGCACATTTTGATAGTCTTCTCCAAACATGGGATTTTAAAATTCAAGATTTGCAAGGAATTCAGACTGGGCCAGCAGGGGGAGCTAACACACTGAGTTTAAGCATAAAGTTGCTCTTAGATATTGGCCTCCGGCCCAAAAAACAATGGTTAGGGAAGCACAACGGTACTAAGTGGCCAGCATTTTTATTTTCTCCATTGAATGCATAGAAGCTAACAGAGCAGACCACCTCAGGTTTCCTAACAAGGTTTAGGGACAGTTTTTGAATGGTTTTTGACCCAGGAATCTTTAATCATACCTTTGCCTAGTATAATTCCTCTATGTAAATAAAAAATGATAATGCCCTTCTCCGAGACTTGACAGCATTGTTCAGAGTCCAAGGCAGTCTCCTCAGTTGTGAATGGTGAAATTCAGAAATATGTTACTTCATACTAAGGTCGAATGGGACAAGTTAAACATTCCCGTTTCAAAAGGGAGGAACAGAAAGCAGAAATGAATTGGAACAAAGTGAGACCATAGCTGAGCAGGTCAAGCATTAAATCTGGTAGCTCCAAGTCCATATGGAGCACGTGGTAGTGAGATGTGAGTTCCAAAGGGCTTTGTCAGCCTCACTTCTATGGCCTTGTTCCATATGGGATCTGTCTGTCTTTGTCTCAGTTTCTGTCTCTGTCTCTGTGTCTTTGTCTCTGTCTCTGTCAGTCTCTATCTCTGTCTGTCTGTCTGTCTCTCTCCAATTTCCTAATGTAGTTCAGGTTGGCCTTGAACTCACTATAGAGCCCAGGGTGACCTTAAACTTGTGTCAGTCCTCCTGACTCAGCCTGAGTACTGGGATTATAAGCAAGCAGTAACATGGTTGGCAATGGTCTCTCTGTTGAGTTGACTCAGTTTGCTCTCTGCAGTTTTCCTTGGCAGATGTGCCACCTTCTTGGTATCTCCAACTTTGTGGGTATCCATTGTGGCATTGTTTCACTCCGGTAGCTTTACAGATTGCCCTCCTTGGGGCTCCTTGCAGGAATTGCAGTTATGTTAAACATTGCCTGGAATTTGAGGACTTCCTTTGAAACATGGCTGTAAGGCTTTGTGTCCCCATAATTTTAGATTCTGCATGCCTGTGAAGCTGGTATCTTGTAGATGATAATTATAACTGAATCTAAGTGCCTGGGAGGCTGAGTGCATGGAAACACTTTCCAAGTCAGCAAAAAACCCTAAATTTTACTTCTCAAGGCATCAAAAAAAATTGATACTTTTAAAGTTTGCATTGGGTGGGGTTTTTCTGATTCTTGTGATGCACTCAGAGCGTCTTTTGTCTTGTCCAGATACAAATCATCTTGTTTCTTTTAATGGTGCTAGTCTCCTTTGGCCCCTAATTTACACTTCTTTTCTGGCCAAATTGAACATTTTTCAAATTTTCCACTCCATTGTTTGCTCCTAACTTTCACTGAAAATCTACTCACAAGCAGCCAGCAGTACTCATACAACAGCCTAAACACTGGGTTGAAATTTTCTCTTTTAGACTGATTAATCCATTGCTTTTAAAGCGAGCCTCACACAAAGTTTGAGTGCACAGGTAAACCACAGACAAATTATTTCCCTGACATGATAACATGAATGGTCTCTGACTCAATTCTGAATATACTCCTCACTTCCAACTGAAACTTCTCGAGTGCAGTCTTTAGTTGGTCACATATTTACTAGCACTCTGATCGTCTGCACTAGGGACAGTATGGCACATTAAAGGCTATTTAAAAGTATTTTAGGCTTTCTCTAAATAGAGTTTGCGAAATTTTCCTACAAAGCCAGTTCAAAGGCTTTTGAATCACAATGTCAAACATGTTCACAGCAACTCCTCACTTCTTTGGCATTAGTTTTCTGTATTGATCAGCTTTCCATTGCTGGGGAAAATACCTGTCTTACACAATTTAAAAGAGAAAAGGTTTGTTTTGGCTCACAGTTTCAGAGCTTTTGGTCTCTGATCAGCCAACTCCAAGACAAAAATATTGCGGTGAATGGTATGGTAGAGGAAAGCTCCTTATCTGGGAAGCACAGAGCAGAGGCACAGCCCGAGAGGTAGGGGTCAAGGACCAGAAAAAGTCCCAAGTCACACTCCTATGTTCCAGAAATGCCCAGAAGTATGCTTTACTAATTTTCTAGTTGTTTTTCAAGCCAAATTGAAAATCAAGATTAACTCTCATATGTATTTTGTCTACATTTTCTTTATCCATCCATACATTTATAAGCATTTATGTTGATTCTTCACCTGGGCTATTGTGAGTAATGTTTTAATAGACCCAAGAGATACTTCTTTAAACTCCTTATTTTTATCCTTTTTGATAAATATGCAAGAGTAGGGTTGCTGGATCATATGATAATTATATTTTTAATTTTGGGGGAACTGTTTTCCATAAGTGCATGATTTTGCATTCTCACAAACAGTATGTAAGAGTTTAAATATCCCCACATCCTTGCCAATAACATTGTTTTCTTGAAGGTGTGAGGTGATATATCTTGGTGGTTTTGATTATAGTTCCCATGATTGGTAATAATGACCACTTTGGTCTGGTGGCCATTTATATGCTTTTTTGAAACAAATGTCTAGTCAAGCCTTTTACCCATGTTTAAAACATGTTATTTGGGTATTTTTTTGCTGTTAATCTTTTATCAAATATGTGGTTTTCAATATTTCTCCTTTCTGATAGGGTGCATTTTCATGCTTCCTTTGCTGTTTACAGGTGTTTTAGGCTGATGTAGTCTTACTTGTCTATTTTGACTTGTTACCTGTACTTTCAGTGTCATAGCCAAAAATCATTGCCAAGTCTAAGGTCAGGAAACTTTCCCTGTAAATTTTCCCTAGGAGTTCTAGGCTTGTTTTTTCTACTTCTGTAGACAATATTGGCTATGGACTACAGGTTTCTGCCCCTATTCCCAAATTCATAGGTTGGAATGATACCCATCAATATTATTAGGTAATTGATAGCAATAGTAATGGAAGGTAATTAGATTTAGATGAGATCATGAGGGTGAACCACTCACTGCTCTTATATGGGGGGGAGATCTATTTCCTTCTTATAGGACTAGATTTCACTCTTCTACTATAAATATAACAAGAAGAGAGCTTTGTATAAAAGCTCTGTATTAGGAAAAGGCTTTTCAGTAGACACTGAATCTCATTTCCTTGATCTTAGACTTTCCAGCTTCTGGATAATATGAGAGTAATATTTGATGTGTACTCTGCCATTCTTTTATAATAGCTTAAATTGACTAAGGGAATACCATTGGAACTATAGTGAAGATATTGTTGAATCTGTAAATTGCTTTGGGTAGTGTGGACATTTTAAAAAATACTATCTTCTGGGGCTGGGAATTTAGCTCAGTGGCATAAGTATCTGCCTTGCAAACAGGCGGTCATGAGTTTGATCCCCGGTACCGATAAAAATGAAAAAAGACAAAAAAACAAAACAAAACAAAATACTGTCTCCCAATCCATGACAATGAAATATCTTTTCATTCATTTCTGTTTTAATTTTGTTTATAAATATTTTGTAGTTTTACAAGCTTTTCATCTCCATGAACATATGTTTATTTTTAAGTATGCATTTTAGTTTTTATGATTTTCTAAATGAGATACGTTATGAGCAAAGAGCAGGTGAAGGTGTCTGTTTTCTGTGAAATGTATTTGATTTGAATCTTTGGCATGCAAGCTCAAGTGTCTTTATTTTTTTTTTTAATAAAGCATGTTCTGGGGAAATTAGCTATCCCAGGAAAGTGCATTCTTTTGGAAACTCTAAGTCACCAGACCTACTATCATGTTATGGCTTTATTCATAGACTCATCCTCTTCTCTTTTTCTCCAATTCATGAAAAGAGAACAAAAGATCACTTGAAACAATCAGTTTCTAGGTTTCTTTCTTGCTTTTTGTTTTTAATCAGCCAATGCTGTAAGATAACCCTTTTAACACAAATCAATCTCTCATGAGGCAGGAGTTTTTAGTTGAAACCTTTAAAATGTTCAAAGGTGTGAATGCTCAGAGTACTATGTAGAGCAGCCTTCAAATGCACAGAAATCTTAGTTATCGTGCTCTGGGATTAGACATATCAGAGCCAAGAGAGGCTCAGGAATAGCAGAGATTTCTCTGGGATTAACTGGAGGGGACCTTTACTCTCTGGATGTGATTTATAACTTGAAAGCCATGTTGCTATCACAGAGCAGTCAACACACTGTAAATACTTTGTGTATCTGTGGCATTTAGGAGATCGTTTACTTATAAGAGAATCAGGAAAACAGCGACAAGCAAAACCAGGATGCTAAAGAGTTTAAGCAGACTTTCAAAGGGAAACGGAGATTCTTGCACAGTTCGTGTTTTGGTGGCCTTGATTGTTCGGTCCCACTGTGTCATGATGGCCTTTCTGGCTCCTTCCCATTTTCCTGTGCCAGCCAAGCGGAACTGGTATGGTGAGCACGGGCCAAAGACGATGGTCAAAACCAGAAGTGGGTCGGTCAGCAGCATAGAGAGCAGATTGGGTTTCGCATTGATAGAGGCCAGGAGTTCATCTATGTATGGGATATAATCTGATTGCAGAGCCTTGCAGTAGTCTAAGCCAAACCTTTATAAAAAGAAGGTGTGTGTGGGGAGGAAAACAGAAAGATAAATTATAATCATAGAACAAGTAAAGATAATCTCTGAACATTGGTCCTCAGCAAATAATTGCTGCTGCAAAAGTTTGAAATGCTTTCTGTCCTCTCTCCATTATGCCCATAGTGTATCTAATGATAGCTACAGTCTCATACAGTTGAATCATGAATCAAATCAATCAAATCAATGAAATCATCCATTGACCAATGTGACAAGAAGCCTTAGTCATCTCTTATATGAGAGATCTTTAACAGAGATCAAACTATGGTATAGGTTGAGACATGACCTCTAAAATGCTTCTATTGTCTTGGAACTTAGCAGTTTGATAAAGATAGATCAGTACTTGAGGTTTGGGGGTATAGTACAGGAATGAAAGAAATGATGGCATTTTTCTCAAATGCAGCGATTTTAAAACTTTTCAGAACTTTTACGTTTCACATAAAAATTTACATTCAGTCCTAGAACAGACAAACAGTAAAATATAAAATCTGAGCTACTTTGGCTGCTTGGTGGGTCATCTCCCTTCCCGTGTTTCTGACCCTTGTGTGGTAACCACAGAAGAGAGCACAAGTGACACTCATCCTCTGGAGAAGAGACCAACATGTTTATTTTGCAAAAAGCCATGCTACAGGCCTGGAGGACCCTATTAGAGTCTCTGTCTCTCCGCTTCTCAACTCTACGGTGGTAACACAGAAAAGGGTGAGGGTGCATGCATTGCAACCAGATTTACGGCTACCATAGTTTGAATTTCATACAGTAGTCACAGGTTGCAAAATCTCATTTTTCTCCTACAACTATATGGAAATGAGAAGCAAAACCCAGGGGAGGGGATCCGGTTCACAAACCACTTCTGGCTGACACCTGCTCTAGAGTGACAGCCTGCATGACAGCAATAGAACGGATATGGACCTACCCAAAGAATGAACACATACTGCTGGTACATGGGGCTGTTTGCATGATGATTGTGGATGAAGAATGGGATAATCTACCTTGTGGATGAGAGTTAGTTATACTTGGCCTGGATTCTAAACTCTGTGTGGATGCTGGATAAACATGGTGTAAGGGATGATTTTAGGGAAATTAAAGCTTCTCAATTTCCCTTTTCTTCTTCTTTCCTGTAAAGGTTGTTCTTATTTTTCTTCTAAGTCTCAGAGGCTTCCCTTTTGAACAGTATAACTCTCATCTCCCTACTATTGTTTGATAGTTTCAGTTATAATCCAAAATGATGCCTTAGCAGCTCACTCACCCACTGTGCTTATTTTTTTTCCTCTCATTGACTTCTTTCATCATGACACTTGGTGGTGGTAACACACTCCTACCTATAAACCAAGAAACAGAAAATGTGATTTAACTTTAGACCCCAGTGTTTACTTATTCTTCATTTAAACTCATTTTTCATTTCTAGTTCCCTGAGCCTACTGGTTATGGCATGCTCCTCGTATTAAATGCCACTACTAAAGAGATAAATATCTGGTCATGTCACTAGTTGTTTCATATGATGGAATCATACATTTAATTTGACTCAGTTTTGTCACGCAGTTGACTGAACTTTTAAATTTTAGATGAATTGTTTGATTCAGTCAAAATAACAGGAATAACACAGTTTATAATTTTTGATCTCTGATTTATCATTTCTGCTAGTGATAATGACAGAATAATTCTAATTCAGTGAGTCCAGTGTATAACAGAATGGATCCTGTTTTTAAAGACTTTTGTTTTAAAGCAGAGCTGAAAAATAGTCTCAAAATTTTCAATATTCAAAGTCACACGGCAAACCAAAGGCATACACCTGCTGTTTCTCGTCTACCAACCTTTCAGGACTTGAACAACCCAGCGAGCTTGTGTTTCTCCTGTGGGTAGCATGGAGCCCAAGGGTTTGATGAGCCCAATAACAGCCAGGGTTGGTTTTTGCAGATGTGCAGGAAAGATGTACTTGTACAGTGATGCCTGGCCGTCTTCAACCTTCACCACGGATTCATCAAGGAAGGGGAAAGAAAAGGTATATCCAGTGGCAAAAACAATGACATCAATGGGTTCTTCTTTGGGGGTGTTGTTAAATATGACAGAGTTTTCCTTCACTCCCTTTATGCTTGGCTTGATCAACACTTTTCCAGTGATGATACGGCCTGGGAGCTCATCATTTAGTATAGGTTCTCTCAGTTGAGTCCTAACCAAAATAAGGACAGGGAGGAAATCTGCAGGTGAGAAACACAGCCAGCTCTTTCTCTTCTTTAAACCTTCCTCTCCATTGTGGGGCTCTCCCCTTGGCTGGCTAAGAGTTGCCTGTTGGGGGATATTACCTCTGAAGGAAGGACTGCTACTGTCCAAGGATTATAAAATATGCCTACCATTTACTAGAGTTTGGAAGCTCTCAAAAAAACTTTCTTTAGTTTCTGTTTGTCTTGCTGATGTTTAGTTATCACCATTATTACAGAGATAGCTTAAGCTTGAAGGCTACAAGGAAAAGCAGGGTCTTCCATAGAAAGCTGCTGGATGCTCTACCCTGAGCTTCCTCTTAGAAAACAATCATTTAAGGAACAAAAACAGACTCATCTTTTTCTGGTTGTGTACTTGGAATCATAAGATTAACACTGTATGAGTCGCTTTTCTGATCCATGTTTGGCTTATGCTGGATATCCAGAACAAACGACATTGTACAAAAGAAATAGAACTGATGTAGGAAGTATTAAGAATGGATTCTTATCCAGTTGTGTATTCCAGCCTAACAGAGCTTGAGCAAGTCACATGATCCCTGTGGACTTTCGTCTGCTCATCTATAAAACAGGGTTACTAACAACTTGCCATCCAGCCCACTGGGTGGAATGAAAGAGCAGATGATGTGCATGATAGTATATATGTGGGAACTTTGGAAATGATAAAGGACTAACTACATCAGGAAGAGAGCCGGGTTATAATTGTTTAGTCCCATGAGCTTCCACTCAGGCTAAATAAAATTTATGGTAGAAAGAACTACAGTGGAAATAGTCAAAGCCCCTGAGAAGCCTAGAGGTGGGATAGAAGAGAAGAAATAAGAAAAAAAATGAACACAATAAAGAGAGGAGAGTATCGAGAGGAAGGAACAAGTACAGGTGACGAAGGGGAGAATATATACCGCTGGCATTGCTGTGGTACCACTGATACATGTGGGCCGCAGTGAAATTTTGAGGGGAAACAGACATGGCATCTATGATGCAGTGTTACCTGGTGATGGAATTCCATTGTAAAGACTTAGGAAAAGAGTAAAACACCTGATACTTGGTAATTGGGTAAGTCATTGGTGGTAACTGAAGGAACAGACTGAACTTGAGATTATCTTGACCAAGGCAAGAAGAAAGATGAAAGGGCTACCATAGGATTCAATTTTTCCAGGCCAATAAAACAATGCAAGTGTATTGCTTTTGTTAACAAAATCATAGATCATTTGCTTTTGTTTGCTGCAACTGAGGCCTAAATAGTCACCAAGGGCATAGAGAGTTCTCATTACTAAATGAGCTCGGGCAAGTAATTAAATCTGGCTAAGTCTCATTTATCCATAATGAAAGGGAGATTATACCTAATAAGAGTTCAATACAGAAATTAACTTACTGAGCACTTAGGAATAGCTAGCTACTGTTATCATCAGTAAATCTGTATGGAAACTTTTCAAGCTCCAAGCATGTTGCCATAATATTGCATGGGTTGCTTGGCACTGGAAAGATTTTGCTCCCATCCCCTTAACAGCCTTAGGTATACATATCACACTTACTTGTTTTCAGGTATTAGGCCATAATTTGCATGATTGAACCAGCTGTTCATCTTTTTTGCTATCAACCGAGTCACAATTGGAGTTGGGAGAAAATTTCTGAATGCATTTTGAAATCGTGTCATGAACACCATGTCCCATGGGTACCCTGAATCAAAGACACGGCTGATCACCCACGCACCTCCAGTGGTGCTGAGGAACACCTGGAAGCAATCAAGGAGATTCAAGAAGAGTTAGGAATTGAAAGGCAACCTCGATCGACATACACCCTTGACAAGATAGTCTAGGTTCCTCTGACTGTCATCTAAAAGTTAGTCCCTCAGGATAATAGTGTGATACATAAAGTATTAAAATATGTGCAACATATTAATGAGCACTTACTTGGCAGGTTGGAGTTACTATGGTGAGCCCTTTGGAGCTAACGTCTCAGGTAAGAAAACAATGAACTGTTGAATTCAACTCTGTTGACTGTAATTGTAGCCAACAAGAACAGGATGGGGCAGAAATTTGGAGCTATCTGTAAATATAATTTCAACACAAACCACTGGCTTAACTGGCAGTAAAATTCAGTAATCCAATTAGAGTGTTTGCTTTTTCCTTTCTTCCTTTTTTTTGTTTTAAACAGATGGTTTCTTGAGTTTAGTAGCTGACAGGTTTCATGAAAGCTAAAAGTTGCTTTGGTATCTAAACAATAAGGAATTTCCTATCTAATTCTTTGAAAAACAACAAAAAAATGAATTAACCAGTCTTTACCTTGCTGATACAAAACAGTTGACCTAACACATTGGATTTTCTTCCACCAAATGGAGGCATGGAGGTCACAGCCACAGAGTCAGTGTTTTTGTTTGACCTTATGATGTCATGAGATGGTTTACACAGCTCTGGGTCTGAACGGGTCTGGGTTCAGACCCGTTGGTAGTTCTGACATGAGTCACACGTGTTGATCTTGCCTCTCTGTGCCTTGATGTAGAAGCAGCTGGGCTATTTTGTTAAGTGTGTGTTATGTTCTAAGTCAAGGAGAATTTGTTTGCTGGTACAGAAATAAAATGTACCAAAGCAGCATGTTTTCTTCCTCCTCCTCCTCTTCCTTCTTTTTGTGGTACTGGGAAATAAATCCATGGCCTCGCACTGACCCATATCCTCCTCCCTTCTTTTTATTTTGCCTTTTGTATCTTGACAGAGTCTCACTAAATTGTCTGGGTTGGCTTTAAATCTTCTGTGTTAGCCTCTTGAGTACCAATTGTACCTGATGCCAAAACTTGTTTTCTGACTGAAGAAATTTCCAGAGAAAGAAAATGAACAATAATGTCACGCACGTGTGGCAGTCATAGTGGATGGATTTAATTTTTCAGAAAAAAGACTTAATGATTGATTCATTGATTGATAGACTCGTTAACTGATTTCAAGAAACTTAGCAACTTGGCAGCATTATCCTGAAGGAAGACAGTAGACCTTCTGAAACAAAAGTTAACACAGGTCCATCTACTGTGAGTGCCACATGTGGGTGAGAGGCGTGATTAGGATTTCAACATGGAACAGACTGTTCAGAGGATTTGTTTGTTGGTGGGTGTGTTCTGCATGAATTGTTAAGAGTTCAAAGATGGACTGTGGGGAGAGGTGCCAGGATAAAGGGAAGAGTGGAGAGCATGGACTTTGAATCAAGAAGACCAAGGTTGGGGGTTGGCTGTACCACTCATTAGCAGAATGGCATTAGGTAAGCGACTCGACCTCTTTCAACCTTAGGCTTCTGCATCTGTGGTCAGCGATACTGGTAGATCTTGTTTTAATGAATTTAAGCAGCACAGTGAAAGACATTTAGTGCAATGCTTGGAAAATAGTCACTTCAGAACATATTAGCTCTTTCTATAATTATTCTTCAGAAGATAATATGAAATTCTAAGTGTGAGACCTGGCAATAAGCAGGAAAGAAAGGGCAAATGGCAGAGCTTAACAAGGAAAAATTATCAAGATTTTCTGACCTATGGGACTAAGGGAGTCTTGTAGCTCTTGGGGGGTAGCCAAGAAGATGACAAAAATATGGAGTCTGAGAAATTGGTTTTAGAGGGAAGATGGCAGCTGGATTTCTTTGTAAAATTTATTAACACTCAATTAAAAATATTTTAAAAATATACTGTAGCTGAGTACAGTAGTGTAGCACTCTGGCAGTCCATCCGAGGTAAGAGGACCACAAATTGGAGCCTGGGATGGGAAACTAAGAGATTTAGAAAGACTCTATGTTAAAATAAGAAAATTAAGGAAAAAACCCAAAATGTTTGGGCATGTAGGCGAGTGTGAAGGCCCTGGACTCAGTCCCCAGTGCCACCAGATGAAACAGTTTCAGGTGTTGCCATTTTTCATCTTTCACGTTTATCATGGTGTCAAACAGCATTTACCTGAGACACATGTATCAAGGTAAAGTGCTCCACTAAGCAGTGTCAGGAACAGTACCTTTTTGGCCAGGTGGCTGGCCTCCACAGCAATATCTGTGCCCGAATTTCCCATTCCAACCACAAGCACTCTCTTGTCCTTAAATACGTCTGGATGTTTGTACTCTCGGCTATGAAAGTACTGGCCTTTAAAAGTATTTATGCCTATAGAGAAAAACAAAGACAAACAGAGAATTTACAGAGTCAACAAATATTTTTTAGTCAATAATATCCTTTTGACACATGATTTAGGTTATTTTTACCAATATATTTAAGTTTAAAGGAATCTAAAATGTGAATACATGACTTTAGAAATGTAATTATGGGTAAAGATGGATAAATAAGCCTCTAGTTGTCTCATTAAATGATTATCTACTAAGTTAAAATATGAGGGCGTAAAGTAATGTTAAGCATAAGTGTAATGAGCCGTTACCATTTAAAGGCTGATAAAGTTGATGGGATGGTAATACTCTGCTAATACTTGATTTATATGTACCCAACTAATTTTCATAAACTGGTAGTAAGATCAATGACACTAAAGTGAACTGGAATCAGTGTCTCTGTTCATCAGACTTCAGAGAACACCTGCTGTGTACCTGGCCCTGTGTTAGATGACAGGAGGGAAACGAGATAAATGAAACATGTTTCCTGTTTGCAAAATCCACATGAATTGGAGAGGTTCCCTGATAATTCATCTTGGTACTGACTGTAACTCAGGCTGAGTTTGCTGAGTGAGCCGGAGTTGGTGGAGAGTATAAAGGGTTATATCTGTGACATCAGGGTTAGGTCTACGGGGAAGATGTCTCATGCAGTTGGCATCAAATCTCGCTGACACATTTAGTACAAATGGAAAGTTTTAGAAAACTTTCAAAGCCATGTTACACAATCAGAAGTAGTATGTGCTGAACAAAGAACCAAGTTTTCCTAAGATAAAGTGAGGAGACATTTAGATTCTCAGGAGATAAATACGTATGTTTGTGGGAAGTGGCCTTCCTTTGGAATTGCTGGCTGTGCTTTAGCTCACGTTGAACCATTATAATTCAGAATGAATCCTGGTTATCCATGATCAGGAGTATTCAGAATTTGGCAAGGATACAATCAAGTTCAATATTAACTCTGTACAGAAATTTGATATGAATCAAATAACTACTGAGAAAGCAGATCTGGAAAAGCTTGAGGAGAATTATAGAATTATCTAGTTTTAGATTACCATAGACTCTCTCAGTATTAGATTGCTTTGGGTCACAAATGAACAACAATGAGACTATCTGAGTGAATTTCCTTGGAACAATACTTTGCCTTCTTACCTGGTGGATGACTGAGTAAGAATTTATGTTAGATGAATGTGGTTGTTTCGAAAACCATAATATATGTAGCTAAATGAACAAAAGTAATCATTTTGGGAACTCATACAAGTGTTTTACCTAAGGAATCTTTTTTTTTTTTTTTTTTTTTTTTTACTGAGACTTTTGGGTTCACTTTGCATTTGCTTTCAGAATCTGAAGAACATGTTTGTTTGTTTTTACTGAGCAAATTTGAACTTTTGTTACAGTTAACAAATGCCCCAATGACTATGTACAGTCCAGCAAGTCTGCTGGCAGGCAAGGATGGATAGTGGGATTGGGAGGACTCCATTTCAAGTCTAGCATTTCAGAACCTTAGAGTTCAAGGGTTCCTGGACAACCATTTAGTGAGAAACTGAAGATTGGGAATGCCTGATAAAATGGACAGTAAAAAGATGGTGAATCTAACAGAGCCTCCTTTGCTTGATTTGTGATGCACACCACTTGGTAAATTATGCAAGCTCATCAATTTTGGGGTGCAGAAAGAACTTAGAGAGGCGAAGAGGAAGGTGAACAACACAGACTGCTTCATCGTACACCTTCTGAATCGCAGTGTCATTCCTGTTAAACTGAGCACAAGGACACTGGTTTAGCTGCTTTCAAGATCTGCTTTATCCTAATTGGACATGACTTGGGGCACATCCAGGATCATGGTAGGTATGAATTTATTGAACATGAGTGTTGGGATCTCTGCAGGTCATATGCAGATTGATTCTTCTCTGGACTCTTCTCAGTCTAGGCTGTATGCTGTCATATCCACTTCTACATTCTTAGTGCCCAGTGTCCTACACTCTAGGTACTGAATAAATGCGATTTCACTGTTCCATAGAGCTTCCTGGATGTTCAGGTTACCCCGCATCAAGGGCTTCTTCCTGAGTGAATGGAGAAGTTGGCTTCTTAGGGCTTTGCTCTCCAGGCAGGAACTCACAAAGGGTTCCTTTCTCTTGTGGATTAATGAGAATCTGTCTTTGAATGCGTGCAAGCAGAGACTTTTGGGTCTCTGTCAGGGTTGTTTGCGAATAACTTCCTGCATTAGGGAGAAGATTGAATGTGGGTCTTTTCTGGTCAATGATTCTATTCTATGACAGTTTTCAGGATACACTTTATGCTACTGTGACTTAACAGACTTCTGGGGCAGACCCAGGACTATGGCGGAGCGTGAGTTTATTGTCATATGTTTTGGGATCACTCCAGGCTATATCTTGATGATATGGAGAAAATTTTTCTCAAAATTTTTCTCAATTTTTCTCTAGTTTACTGTAGGTGAACTAGACTAATCCTTGAATTTTCTGTTGCTTGGAGTGGAAATCCAATTGAAATTTGACTTCAGTTAGCATTAGTCATGGTTGCAAACCTCAGGTAAAGAAACTGAGACCTAAAGGTGTATTACTTTGTCCTCCAAGATACGTGGCTCTGTTAATTATTGGTAGACTGCCATAAACCTCTGGGTTTAGTTAGTTGTTATGGATCATTTAAAGCAAACAAATAAAAAATCAAATTGCTTCTTTCTTTAAGCACAGATTGACCTCTGTGGCCTCTAAGATCAACTTTGGCAGTGTGCAGCTGAAGACATTCTGAGTGCTGGTTTTTTTTTTTTTTTTATTAATGAGGGATATAGAACCTGAATGGAGCATAAGTCCATTTAATAATTTTATACTCTTCTGTTTGTTTGAAACCCCTCCCCCCCCCCAAGCAAAAAACCTGGCTGGGTGGAAATAGTTCTGGCTAGAAAAAAATCATTACCTCAAAAATGTAGCCAATGAATAAGGAATGATAAGAGTTCATCCCCAGACCAGTCAAGTAGCTTGATTGAGTCCCAGGGGAAAACAGAAATTCATTTGTAGGAAATGCTGTACCTGGGAAGGAACTCAGTGGCAAATAAGGGTCAGTGAGAAAACCCGTGCAAACCATGACCGCATCAAAGATGGCTGAGTTTTGCTTCCCTTCATGCAGAGTGACCACTTCCCATTGGCCAGTGACATCAAAGTCTGGGCACTTTGTTACACTGCAGACTTTGGTCTGAAAAAAGAATCACAGGTGTGATTTACAGTTGGTTCCACTAAGATCCTGTTGGCTGAAACACCAGTTAAAATTTCAAAATTTGTAGAGGACAGATGAAACATAATTAATAAACTGAACCCTCAAATCCTAATCAGGATTCTAAATTAGTGAATTATTTTTTCTTTTAAATTTGATTTGTATTAGGTTTACTATACATATCATTTCTGGGGCCAATGTTGGGACATTTGCCTGGAATGCATGAGGCTCTGGGTTCAATCTGTTACCACAAAATTAATTAATTTCCTAAATCAGAATCTAGTTCTTATGGACATATATGTGCTCATTGAGAACCAAAACTATATTCTTTAAACTTTGGACTGCTTCCAAAATATTCAGGCCATCAGGTTAGCACTTTTCAACAGCTCTATAGAGTTGAGAAAATTTCAGCAACATATTCTTTAAGGCTTTACATAAGCTATTTGGTTTGAATGTATATTTTCAATTGTATATATAATATATGTCTCTACTAAAGTAACTCTTGTTAAAGAGAAAGCTCTCTGTGAAATAAGGCCCACAGCAAACATACTTCAGAGATTGTGATCTTGATCCTATCTCTTACTGTGAGAATTTGAGCAAATCAGTTAAGAGATTTGGATTTCTACCACCTTCCAAACTCTACAATTAGAATATGTTCATTCAAGAAATCATGATCAGATTTTACTGCCTTTTTAAAATCCTTTTCAAAGTTTTCAAAAAAGATGGATTTCTCAAGTCTCTTCTAGTGAGTTTACTGTTTGGCTTATAGTATTTGAAAGGCCTGTTGGATCTCTACATTTATATTAGCAATCTGTCCTCCAGAAAAGATGTCACTAATCTTGTGAGTTCAGCATGTCTGCAGAACTTGGGGAGTTATGTTATACATAGATAGTAGAAAATAGGCAAATACTTTCAAACTATCAATTGATGTTTTGTGTCTTTTTTTTTTTTTTGGTATCATGAATCAACTCAGGATCTTGCCTTTGCCAGGTAGACGCTGTGCCACTGAGCTGTATCCCCAGCCTGATGTTTTGTGTCTTACCTTGAATTGAATACATTTCAGAAGGTTGAACTGCTTTGCATACAGTTTGAGATACTCTATGAATAGATCATTGGGTATAAAGTTTGGATAATCTTCTGGGAATGGAAAATCTGAGTAACAAGACATCTCTTTGCTGCTGTTGGACACTACAGACTTGTAGAGACTGGCTCTTCCTTCTTCAACATATTCCTGTATAAAAAGCACACACATGTGAACACACATACACACGCACACACACAATAGATAACTTTTTTGAAAAAGAAATCTAAAACATTTCCAACCTTAAGGTGATACAATGTTTACCATCTTTCAAATACAGAGTACACTGGCCCTAGTGTAAACTACCCGGTCAAGATTACCATTCTATTCGGTACATGTTAACAAATAAATCTGGGGTGAACTCATTTGTTCATAAACAATCACTATCACTGCAAAGTACAGGAGAATAGAGTAGACAAGAGCTTGGAAGCAGTTTTGGGATAATGATCAATTACTAGGCACATTGACTTCATGGAAAATTGTTGAAAAGATTATGGAGAAGTGGGTTTTATATTATGAAGGCTTTGTATCGGATGTTAATGTATTTGGATTTTTATAAGAAGGTCTTGGAAATATACTGAATATTTTAAACACGGAAGTGATTCCTATTAAATTTGGGAAAGAAACTGGTTCTACAAAAGATGAACTAGCCAGGGCTCAAAGAAAGAGAAAGAAACTAGTTAAGAGTCTAAATTACAAATATGTTTGATGTTAAATGAAGGCTTGCATAGAGGGAATGGCATTTGGAACACTGAGCAGGGATTTGATAGTAGTGAGGTAGTATGTATAGAATTTTGCAAGACCAGTTGAACTTGCAGGGGAGAACAAACAAGTTAAAGATTCCCATGTTAGAAAACTATGAGATGGCACACTCTACCTAGGTTCCCAACCCCAGTTTTGGCTTGAATAACTAGTAAACATTAAAGTCTTGTGATATTACCAAAGATTAAGCAGTAAAAATGTAGTACTGTTTTTATTGTATATTGTTTCTGTCTTGGATGGTGTTATGGAGGATTGTTCTCGTTTCAGTTGGGAAGATCCTCAGTATTTTACTATTATTTATTATGTTGGATATGTAGTTCCATTTCCAGGGAAATAAAAATTATTTTATATATGTAGGCAAGGGGGACATCCGAATGCAAATTTCACATACAGAAATAGCTTACTCTGTTCCCCTAAATGAACGGGTCTATAATTGTACATCAATCACAGAGAAAAAAGTTATAACGATAACTCTAGTTTCAATTAGTGTTACTGATCTCATCGGTTGACATGCACCGACTATTATAACCTCCGGATCTGCATCCCCTATCTGACAGCCCCACTTTTTCAGAGCATTCCTAGGAAGCTAGAAGCTAAAACTTCTGAGAAAGATGACTATTTAATTCTTGATTATTTATTCTGCTTGGACATCTGAGTCACTGCTAATGAAAAGGAGTCCGTAGAAATGTACCCATATCAGAGATGAGATAAACACGTGCTTAGAGTAAGCAATTAGCACCGTTTATAGCAATCTCTTGACATTGCTCAATATCCAAGCACGCGGACTCATGTTCGTTGCACAGAGCATAGATCGGTCTTGGTGTCTTGTCTAACTTCTGTGCTGAGTTGCGGTGGTGTTTGAGCCATGAGCTAATCACACATAGTAGAATTGCATTATATTAAATGACGTTTTAAGTTTAATTTGAAATTGTTGTCCTAAAGTGCTTAAAATATGCAACCATTCTATTTTATTGAAGATAAGTCATATTTAACTATAAAGTTTCACAGTAAATAGTTTTTTAAAAAATAATACCTTGAATTTGCTAAGATTGCTTTAAAATCTCTTCCATTCAAATCAGCATGAGCCTGCTAGCCTTGTTTCTCTACTTTAAGTACAATTACACAATACTTAGGAATAGTTTAAATTTACATTCTTCCTTACAAAGAACATTTTCATCCACCCAATCCAGATTATACATATCGATAAGTAAGAAGCAAGCTTAATTGTCGCATTATAAACTTTAGATAATATGAACAGAATGCATTGAAGGTGTGCCTGCAGGCGTTTAACATGGATAACTGCTATTCATACAAATGTTTTGTTTGGCAAAAAGGTACAAGTGTAATAGTATTCTCTCTTTCTTCTCTATATTTATTGCTTATTGTGTGTATTTTCAAAGAACAATGTGTCCATTTTTAAAATTTTTTAATTTTTAAAAATGTGTCCATTTTTGTAATTGCTTTCTTTTATTTCTATTTTGTGTTTATAACATTTATTGAAATCAACTTTGTGACTTCTGAGTCTATAAAAATTTTGTATTTGTTATATTTTGTACATGTTTTCCTGTTATTTTCACTTTTTATAAAGATGAATTTTAATTATATTTAACAAACAGTAGTCTATCATTAATTAGAAATGAAGAAAAAAGTTCTTATAACTCTCTAGACATTCTGGTGTGGTTAGCTGTTGTTAATATTTGCCTAGGAAATTTTATTAACATGAAGAAACTGATTGAGTAGTTGTGGAAAAGCTTGAGATTTCATGTTTTTGACAGGCTTGTTTGTTTGTGTGTGTGTGTGTGTGTGTGTGTGTGTGTGTGTATGTATGTTTGGTATCAGGGATCAAACTCACCAACTCTCACTGCCAGGCAGGTGCTTACACCACTAAATAAATTCCCAGCCTTATTAACACTCACATACTTTATTTATTTGCTGCTAATGTGTGGACCATGCTTTGAGGGAGGTCTTTACAATAGTACTGCTTGGTAGCCACACATGCATGTACTTTTTAAACTTTTCCTCGCTATATTAAAAAAGTAAAGAGAAATGAATGAAATTAACTTTAAAAGCATACTATATCAAAAAGTAAATATATTCAAAATGCTATACTTTCAACATGTAATCAATATGACTTATTAATGAAGTATTTTCCTCCTTTTCTTCATTCTAAATCTTCAAACTGATGTATACTTTACACATATAGAGTCAGATGTTAAATTTTCATTAGCTAAGTTGATCTAAATGTACTTACAAGTTTTATAATAACCACACTGAGTTTAATTAATATAGAATAAAATAAAAATATAGTTCCTTAATCATAGTCGCTACATTTTGAGTGTTTCATAGCTGTGGCGCTAGTACTGCTGTGTTGGATAGCACAGTTTTAGAACTTCACCAGACCTGAGGGTAGATATTAGAATTGAATGTAAAATTGATCTGATTTAATCAAAACGTTAATCAGCTTTTCTCTTAAAGAAATAAGAAGCATGGTTATAAAGAACTGTAATGTTAGTGATAAAATCAGCATGGTATTGGCAAAGAAATAGGCCTGAGGATCAATGGAACAGGTTAAAAGATGCAAACACAACTACAAAAACACTCAGCCACCTGATATTTGACAAAGGGGCTAAACATGTTCACTGGAAGAAAGATAGCCTCTTTAATAAATGGTGTTGGAAAACTGGCTCTCCACATGCCAAAGACTGAAACTAGACTCATGCCTATCACCATGCACAAAACTAAACTCTAAATGGATCAAAGACCTAAATATTAAAACAGAAACACTAAATCTACTGGAAGGCAAGGTAGGTAGAAATCCTAGAGACATAGGGGAAGGCAGAGAATTCATGAACAAAATGCAAACTTCATGGGAAACACTTGAAAGAATCAACAACTAGGATCTTATATTATTAAAACATTTCTGCAATTCAAAATAAATCACCAACAGGGTGAAAAGAAAACCCACAGAATGGGAAGGAATTTTAGCCAGCAGCCCCTCAGACAAAGGACTTATATCCAGAACATATAGAGAATTGAAAACCATCAAGCCCCCAAATTCAAAGACCCTCTCCAAAAATGGGCATCTGAAATGAACACACATTTCTCAGAAGAAGATATACAAATAGCAAATAAATACATGAATAAATGGTCACCATCATTGGTCATTCAAGAAATGCAAATTAAAACAGCATTGAGATTTCATCTCACTCCAGAAAGAATAGCTGCCATCAAGAAATCAACTGATAACAAATGTTGGTGAGGCTGGGGGGGGGGAGGAACACTGCTCCACTGTTGGTGGGAGTGTAGACTGGTGAAGCCACTATGGAAATCAGTATGGAGATTTCTCAGAAGAATAGGATTGGAAGTTCCATTCAATCCAGCTATTTTCCTCCTGGGTATTTTCCCAGAAAAACTGAAAAGGTCATATCATAATGATATATGTGCACCCATGTTCATAGTAGCACAATGTGTAATAGCTAAATCTTGGAAACAACCAAAATGCCCATCAACTACAGAGTGGATGAAAAAGATGTGGTGTTTTATACAATGGAATATTACTCAGCTATAAAAAAGGATGATCTTGAGGCCTTCATAGGTAAACGAAGGAAATGAGATTATTCTCATAAATAAGAATTATATTTACAAGCAACCAGCTCTCCTCCCTGGTAAGCAACTGTGGCTCTGGCAAGCTGTGACTGCCCTAGGGTGAGAACCACCCAGTATCTCCTGAGATCTGCACCATGTTGGAACTTAGGGTGCTGGGAAACCAAGCAACCAGCTTGCCTTTCTGGTATGCAGCCACGAGCCTACCAGCACGTGGGCTTAGTAAATGGGAGCCAGAGATCTGAGCATCTCTTGGGAAGTTGACCATATGCAATATACCAAACAAGGAGGATTTCCTTCTCCTATCTCTTTGAAGGCAAATATCTTTATCACTGTTTTGCTTTGATCTGATTACTGGTATTGCTCTATTCAATATTCTGTTTTGATAAGTTCTTTATTTCATTTGATTTTGCTATACCTGATTGAAAGAACAGCTATTGTGAAGATAACGAGATATACTATGGAACCTGTTATCTTGGTAACCTGCTTGATGTTCTGTACCAACTTCATTACATTGTCTCAGTTGGCTTTGTTTTGTCTTATTCTGTTATATTTTGCTACTTTCAAAATAATAAAAAATTTAAAAAAGAATTATATTTACAAATATCACATTATGTCTCTAGTGTAAAAGTAATAACTGTAGGAGTAATAAAATCCAAAATGTGTAAGTGCTATTGTAAAAAGGAGAGGAAAAGAAAGTGCTCTAAAGGATATAACTGCGTGTATGTAGTTGTAAGATAGATAACCATATTACTAAGTTTTTGTTGGATGGTTGAGCAGAACTG